TGGTCAAGGGTCGATGGAATACCTACATCGTCGTTGTACAGTCCTTGTAGCAGTTGGCTAACGTCCTTTCGTAAGCTGGGTCCACTCCTTGATCGACTAGCGCAGACAGGATGGCGTTGGTTTCGACGCTGTCAAAGGCTTTCTCGTAGTCGACAAAGGTTAGGACGAGAGGCAGTCGGTACTCCTGGCAGACTTCTACGACCCTCGAGACGGTCTAGATCAGGGCCCGGCATAGGTCGTCTGGAAGCAGGCTGAACTTCGTTTTTGGAGCAAAAAGCAAAGAAAATATCGTTTTTGACTAATCGGGGCCCAGCACCAATAATAAGTGCAATTTTGTCGAATACAAGCTTTTCGGACGGGTTATCACACGATTGACACGCTCTATCGTGCATGGCGAATTTGAAAGCAAGACTAAAATAAACAAATTGCTTGTTTCAGCGCACACAGAATCATATGACACCAAAACTTAACTGTATACATAGAAAATTATTTGCAAATTACTTATGCAAAAAGATTTGAAAACTTATGTGAAGTAATATCTTTTCCAAAATTAGTCCGTCACCAGACGGCCACCAGACGACTTCTGTCAATTCACATAAGTTTCGGAATTTTCTATCATGGACGGATTCCCCGGCCAAAAATCTATCCCTGAGCATAAAGACATTTTCATATCATTGCCTTTCTTTTGTTTTTTGCCTTCATTTCTTCATATTTGCCTTCATTTCTTCATATATCGCTTGAAATATCGCGCTTCAATGCCAAACTTTTGTGCATGCGTAGTATTCAGCTCCAATTTGAATTTTTACTTTTATCCCACGTTTTTTCCTTCAGAGTAGTAAACTTTTCTTGTTTTCATCTTCTTATAAGCAGATAGGTTCAAAGGGGACTTCGTAAAACTTCCGAAAGTCAGGGGAGACTTCGTTTTCAAAAACCCTAGAAACCGACTCGTGCCGGGACCTGGTCTGAATGTGGTCCATGCTGCTGAATCCTTTGCGAAATCCAGCTTGTTCGTGGGGTTGGGCTTCATCCAGTTCCTAGATATGCAAGAGAGGATTATCTTTGTGAAAAGCTTGTACAGCACCTCAGCAGGCATATTGGACGATAGTTGCAAAGATCCCGTTCACCCTTTTTAAAGAGAAGGACTGTTCTTGACGTTCTCCACTAATCGGAATTTTTTTCCGAAGGTAAGATGTCAGGTGCGACGCGAGAATCTTGTGTAGACGTTGTCCTCCGGCTCGCAGAAAATCAACGGAAAGGTGGTCTGGTCCTGGAGCCGTAGACGTCTTCATGGTCTGAATCGCTGTGCGCAATTCAGCAGGTAATTCGTGGTGGTACTTCTTCAGTGGAACAACATCGGCATCGGTACGGGTGTTGATGAGCGGAAGAGGTTGGTGTAGAAGTTCTTCGCGATAGATTCCATCTTATATGGGGAAGAAGTCAAGGTCCCTTCTTCATTCAGGAGTGCAGCGACACGTGATATTCATAGATGTCCCTTCGGCACTTCTTGAGACTTCTTCTTTCTTCGGCTGCTTCCAGTATCTTGGCTTGCCTGTACTTCCTGTGATCCTCCTGCAAAGCTGTTCTGCAGCTGGCGTTGGCTATCAGTCGCTCGAGATGGGTTGCATTCGGATCCTGCCTGAGAAATCTTCTTCTTTCGAGCAATTCCTTGGTGGTCTTCGAAATACGTTCCAAGTCCTTCTCAGAAGTCACAGAGGCTCACTCTCCGCAGGCTCGCAATCCTTTCAGAAGCCTTTCGTAGTCGTACGTTGGGTCCTCCTCGATGAGCCAGTCACAACTTGATTGAGCTCTTCCAGCCTGTTACCGTCATAAACGACTTCCTTCCTTCTCGCGGCACTGTGACAGACTTTCTTTTTCAGCCTTCGGTTGAGTCGTAACTTCGCTCGAAAAAGGCGGATCGGAGCCACTGCAGAAGCATGGAACTACTGAGATTTCGAGCAAACTCCACCTTCGGTTGGTGAGAATGTGTTCGATCTCCGCGTGAGTCGTTCCGTTGGGCAATTCCCATGTCCACCTGCGATGTTCCTTCTTCATGAAGATGGAATTTCCATGGAAAAGTCGTGCGGCGAAGAGAAGCCCAACGAGACGGTTGCAGTTTTCGTTTCGAAGCCCATATCCAAACTTCCCAATTCTGTATTCCTCTTCTAGTGGCATCCTGATCTTCGCGTTGAAGTCGCCCACAACAAACTTGTAAAAGGACTTCTCGTTGCGGACAACCTCCTCCACATCTTCGTAGAAAGCATCTAGTTCTTATTCGTCAGCTGCTGATGTTGGAGAATAGCAGTTAATGATGCTGATGGTCTTCTGACGTGGAGGTCGTAGTCGTAGGATGGCCAGTCGAGGTGACAGGATCTCATTCGAATCGACAAGATGGAGGATAGATGGGTATACGACAAAGCCAACGCCTCCAACGTTTCGTGATGGAACCTTTTCACCACGAATGACGAGGGTCCCATCACTCATCTGTCGCACGTCCTTCTTCCTGGACTTCGTTTCCCGCAGAGCGATGATGTGGTACTTGGTGTGCTCTGCAGCGTTGAGAAGAGCGTGGAGGTCGGCGTTTGTGAGGGTTGTCCTGACGTTGTAGGTGCAGAGCATGAGGCATCCATGGCGTGTCGTCCGGGCAGACGCGTCGTTTTTGTCCAATCCAAAAGGCGCCCTGAGGACCCTGAAATCGTTCTTGCTACCACCCGGCGCCGTAGGCGGGATACGATGTGCAGGGTTTCTTTCTATTTTTCTAACTGGAGGAGTAATAAATTTTATTTTATAATTTTTTATTTTATTTTATTTTTACTGCAAGGTTTAGGCAGTCAAAATCGTCACTATCCAAGCTTTTTAGACGCTGATGTATCGGTGACAGCTTTCCTAAGCTTAACGTGAAGCTTTACTTTATTTGTACGCTTTTTTGTAGTGCGTAAGCGAACATTCTAACGATATTGGTGCATCCTGCATCAAAAGTAGTGCAAATTTTGGTGATAAGAAATGTCCATAACTTCTTTCGGAAGAGCGCACAGCAGATAATGAAAACAGATTTAGAATCAGCGCTTCAAGGTACATTTGATGGTATACATTTCATTCAGGGCTCGGCACAGCTGGCACCGGGTCAAGCTGGATATCGTTTTTAGGGCGGGAAGCAAAGGGGATATCGTTTTTTCGGGGTCCGCGGCGGAGAAGTGCCGCAAGAATGCCGCCGGCATGCCACCGGCATGCTGTCCATCAACAAACAAAGGCCTCGTTCTCAGCCAAAATGCAATAGTATGACACCAAATTTGGTGTGAGCATGCGCGTTAATGGACCGGAACTAAAGCCCAAAAATTTATGAAAACTTATGTGAATGAAAGGTGTGCCGAACTTTTTTCTGAATTAGCTGGCACCGTGCCAGCTGGGTGCCAGCTGAGCTGGCACCGACACTTTGCTCACATAAGTTTTCATACTTTTCTACATAAAACGTATCTATACTGTAAAAGTTTACATACAGAGAAGAAACATTTTCATAATGTTTTCTTTTCAGCGTTTTATAGCAATTTCAAAATTACTCAGTCTGCTCCGCAATCAAAAAATCGGCTTTTTCTGCTTCTCAAGATGTGATTCAACCACATAAAAAGCTCAGAAATTTGTTAAAAGTGGTTCCATGAAATCAGCATGCATGAAAACCCTACTACATACTTTTACAGAATGCAAAATTAATGACTTGTCTTCAAAACTGGTCAAAGGGGACTTCGTACGAAATTTACAAGATCAAACGGGACTTCGTTTCGAAATTTCCCTAGTGCCAGCTCGTGCCGAGCCCTGATTTCATTTCAAAAGGACATGGTCACCAAGTATCCTTTCCTTGTAAGAGTATTGCTTGTCGTACACTTCCGCTATCAAAAATCCCACTCCAACGTAGTCAAATGTCCCGCAATACTCTGCCTATTCTAGGCAAGCGAGCGACCACAACAGTGGTGAAGATAACAAATCATCTAAGCCTTATTTTTACGCATTTATTCACAAAATAAGGTAGGTTGAGGTTATTTAAAGATAAGGAAAACAAGACCAAATTGATTTCCAAACGTGTTACGTAAAGTACATGTTTGTTATTTTCATGTTTATATGTCAAAAATCCACAGCTTACGCTGTCAACGAAAAGTTATTGCACCATTACGTCAACTATAAAACGATGGTAAAATTTTTGATGCAAACATGAATTAATCTTTAGAATAAACTGCCGCAAATGGGGACACAAAATCTAGTATTATAGATCCTTTGCCCGTCTATCAAGTAGAAAGCAAACTTAGTGTATTAGCTTCGCACAGTTCATTAATAAACGAGGTGTTCATTATGTTACAAAATAAAGTTAGGTTGAGGTTGGTAAGGTTAAGGTTGAGCACTCAAATTTTATAGAACGAAGCACAGATTTTGAACATTTATAATGGCGAAGCATCTGATTTTCATATCAGTCACTCTCCACCTTCTTGGCAGCTCTTTTCCCAACTTTGTCGCACCGTCATTTGATAGCACCGATTCAGTTTCTGGACGGATAACCCAAAAAGTCAAATGATTACTTCCAGAGCAGCTCTAGCCAATCACATATCATTATAGCGACAAACGCATAAAAATTTCGTTTTGTCGTAAGTGACAATCGTTCTCTCAAACCTGAGACAGTCTGAACAGCGTACGCAGCGTGCGCATACGTGCACAAAACTATGGGGCGTATGCAGCGTCAAGGCGAGAAGGGAAGGTGCAACTATATTACAGCTCAGCAGCTCACCCAATGCTGCCGCCAATACGACTCGTCAACTCAAAATGCCTTTTAGGTCAGACAAGCCATAAAGCTCAATTCTGAGCGTAGGGCTACTGGGCAGAAATTTGGACACATAAAATCCATCATAATGCCATACTGTTTGCATGAGATCACGCTGTTGATTTTTCTCCTCATGCGCGTTTTGCCCACCGCTTTTGTAGCACAAACGAATTAGCAGAAACATCAGTAGAAGTTTGTTCTTGAATCAAGCAATACATTTTGAAGTGGTATTATTACAGTAGTCTATTTTCAAAGCTCTCATTTCTTCTTTACATCCTTTTTCTTTTCTGCCTCATTGAATGCTTGTACGATTGGTACCCCAGACTAAATAATCTGATCCATCTTTCGTATTCAGCGGAAACTAAGAACAATTTACCAAAAAATAATTGAGCTGAGTCATTTGATACTCTGACGGGCACGGTGTTACATCACGAAAGGGTTCATCGTCGTCTGTTTCCTTCTGGATTACTTCTTTCACTTCATTTGCTGTAGGTTTATCAAGCCGAATTTGACTCTTAAAAAGCTATCTGTATTGCAATCTTGATACGGAATAAGAAGAAAGCTTAGGTATTCGCTATCGCAAGCTAAGGATAAAACATTACAGGTCATGCTTTACATGGTGTCCTGACGGTATGTGGCTGTTTCAAACAGCTGGAATGGCGGGCATCCGCACCGCACTTCCTTGCGCCGCAGCGGCGACAATATCTCATTATTGAGAACCTCTGTCTCGTCTCCTCATTACTTCAATCTCTGCTGGCGGAATGTCAGCGCTATGCGCCAGCCGCGGCTCCCGGACGCCTCGCTTCTTCATGAACTTTGGCCTATATCCGCTTGAAGCCTACATATTAGGTCGTTCCATAAGTGCTCGTAGCGTTTTTATAAACTAACAAAATCATCAATTTACAGTAAAAATCAATCAAAATTATTTTTCGTTGTAGCGCACGACCTTTTGGCACATTTCTGTTGGCTTCTCATGTCAATTTTTCAAACGGCAGCGCGCCGGGTTTCAAGAAAGTCATCTAAACAGCGCTCAAACTACTTACTGAAGTCGAAACATGCACCATTCATGAGGTTTGTTAGAGAGCGGAGCAAATGATAATCTGATAGAGCGAGATTTGGAGAGTAGGTTGGGTACTGAAGTAACTTCCAGTCAAATCGTGCAGGAGAGTTTTGACGACTTTTGCCGTACGAGGCCATGTTTTGTCATGCAGAAAATTTTACTGGACCTGTCTATTAGGCTTATTCTGCGGTAGGACTTGGTTTAGCGATGCAGCTAAATTGCTTACGGTATGCTTGACTATCGCCTACTTGTACAGCAATTTTCTGTGCAGAACGTCCTGCCCGTCCCCCGAAAAGTCTTGTTCAGGGACACCCTGCTCAGCCCCTGATCCTTTATAAGATAAAAGTAAAGCAATCCAATCCTTTGTTGTCTCTCATATTAATGTGCAAGCCCCATGTTCTATAATCGATGGGATCTATGCAAAAACGCCTCTTTTCATTAGGAAAAATGCGCAAATGTCGAAATTGCTCCGTTTTGCCTTTCAAGACCATATTTGGAGGCTACGAGATCCGAATGAATCTGCTTTTTACCGTAATCAGTAGGCATATTTCAAAGAGTACAATTAGCCCTTCCAAATGATATACGCATCTTGCCGCAAATCAACCGCTCCTCAAAGATATGAGGATGAAAATGAAAACGCTACGAACTATGGAACGATCTAATGCACTGTTTGATTGTTAACAACTCTCTTGTCTCAACGTCTGTGGCGGATCTATGGGTACCATTCTGTAGAGCTGGTTTTGAAATAAACTGATTAGACAAGTCACTTATTGCTTTTTACTGTCGGGTCACGGTCAGGAACGGTTAGAAATTTCAGCACACAGCGTCATTGCGAATTAGCTGCCGTTCGAATCTCTCAAAAATCCTGAAAACCAAGCACAAGACTTTTAGAAGTTGGGCACTCTTCCAGTTATTAACTCTGCGAAAATTTGTGAATGTAATCACATCTACGTTTTTGGAGAATGAGCTGGTATGTATCGTTTACTTCCCAAGGATTTACTTTAGATGTTTAAGAGCTCTCAAAGCTTTCCCGAAATAAGCTATGGTTCTCTTGGATGTGAAACCGTTCTGCCTGCTTAATAATCCCGAACCGCTCAAGATTTCGAAACAGGAGAGTTTTATAATCAAACAGTGCGTACATACTTTTGTAAAATTTTGTTACTTTCCTATTATAGGACAGATAAATACATACAATTAGATATTCGGATGTTGTAGTCTTGGGAGGTTGGAAATCTTCCTCTTCATTTTTCACTTCTTGCTGCTTTTTTTCTGTCATCAATTCACAGTCGATCTGTAGATATGAACGCTTATTATAAAGGTCGAAGAACTATGATATAAACCTACTGTTGCATAATCTTTTACAAATAAAGCTAGGTCTTGAACAATGTTCTCAAAACTTCGGCTAGCTGATGATATGTCCTGCAAAACCAACTTCAATACATCAGTACTACTCACAATACTTGGCTGAAGTAGTCATAACATACATGCTATGACATTAGGATCTTAGAGCTCACAAAACTTGGCCTTTTCTTTGACTCGAACAGGATGTCTTACACTCGACCCCTTCCATGCCAAGAAGGGGTCGAGTGCAAGACATTCATGTTCTACAGAGTGTCACTTCGGTACAGATGTAAGTGGCTGATCTCAGTCGAATATGAAGACCCGATCTTCAATGACAAACAACATTCTTCATAGGACGTCTGCTTTGTTTCCCGAAAACATGGATATAAAAAAATCTCAAGGAAAGATTGGTTCAATTCCAATTACTTTTCACATTAGCCAAAAACGAGCATCATAATTTTGTCGTCTCATCATGCGCTGATACCACTTCTTCAAAGCGCTTGGGAAAAGTGCAAAACTTTTATCCACCCGAAGCATTACCCTTTGATTCAGTGAGATTGGCGGCTAGAAGGCGACCGCTCGCGCCCGCGAAGCAGACTGCGTCTCTCTCCCGAGAGTGCTCTCTGATCATTCCCTAGCCTTAATTAGGTCACGAAGCCCCGCTTCCCAGCCACCAATTCAGGAATCAAAGGGTACGTAACAATAACTAGCCGTACCGCGGTAAAAAAAAAGAATTCCTATAACAACTTTCTTTACAGAGAAGACATAAACTTTTCAAGAACAAAGCGTCACTATGTCCACATCACTGCTTCGACCAAGTTTTCTTCTTTTGTAAGTCGATTTTTGGAGAAAGGGAACGTTGGTAGAGAAGTGTGGAAGCAATGTTAATTTCGAATGTAAATAGACGGGTTCTATGAACTCAAGCTTTATTCTGGGAGTCTCCATTCGGCAGGTGAATCTCTGCGTTGAAGTGCGCTAACCATTCTTGTTAGGCCTCTCATGCGTAGATTTGATGCTGCAGCACTGCTGATTGAGAATAAACAAAGATTTGGTTCTGTTTGGGTAGAACATACCATGCAGCAATCACCTATGATTTACGATACAACCGTGGGTTCGTTTTAGTAACGGCGCCTCGATCTTGGACTTAAATGTAATCGCAAGAGTTGTCATCCTGCCCCGTTGCTAAGCCTCTAACTTGCCTACAGTGTTGCCCTGGCCATCTAAACACTCAACAAACTACCATTCGAGCCTGTGACCCTAGCACGCAAATCTCTAAAGGAGTTTTGGTTGATCGATAAGAAAGTGAAAATGTGCATGAAGGGAAGAATGTGTCAACAACACAAGTTACCAGCATATCAATCATTATGCGGATTCAATTCTCAGCACATGTAAAAAAGCTGAGGAGCTGGTCTTATTATAATGTGTTTACTATAGCTACGTGCTTTCACCCGCCGTTGGCTCCTATCATAATCAATCAAATATAGATCTCACTCTTTTGTTGGTAAGCGAGAAGATCTATGAGTTCGACCTTTCAGGCCCTGACGAAGTCGTTCGCCGAAACGTTAACCAACAAAGAGTTAATAAAATCTTTGACTGCTGGCTGAAGAAATATTTACAGTAGTAACTTTTCGAAGGTGAGCTAGGCACCTCATTTGCACCCATTACAAAGTACGACCCTTTCCTTTGTTCGCGTCAAGAATCCCACTCCAAGCGTATATTATTTGTTCCCTAATATTCGCTTTGAAGGTAAGTTAATGGGGTGTAGCACAATCCTTGAAAAGCTGTGGCTGCCACACCTTTTCAGGGGTTGTGTCACACACCAACAACTTACCTTAAACCCATCCAAATACCTGCGTTTCTTATATCGTTCCTAGTGCTAAACCTTCTCCTCTATACAGTAGGAATTTCATTTGAAATCGTTCCCCCCCCCCCAGGGAAAGATATAGTCGCTTTTCCTTACCTTGCAAATGGAAAGTACTGCGAAAATATCGGGTTACGGTAACACGATAAGTCTGCGTTACTACGTGATTCGCAGTGGAAGACGGCAAATATATATGTATAATATATACAGGGTGTCCCAAAAAGATGTGCACACTTTTTGATCGTTAACAACTCTCTTGCTTTCATGTCTTTTGCCCAGCTTGAAGTACCATTCTTTAGAGCGAGGTTTAACTTAGATTTACTGTATGGAGCGAATTATCAGTCGCTCTTTGTTTAGGATTAAGGAAGTTCGTGGAGGATTTCAAGCCATTTAAAGCGGTATCTTGCCTCAGAAAGCTAAATAAGCCAAAAACTCTTGAACTGGGTCAATCGAAGTTGCTGATTCCAATTATGGAAACTGCACGTCACACTGTTTCTTTCATGAGTTGTTTCAGATTTACGGTAACAACTGATTTTCCAGTGTTTGTCATAAATGTGAATACGCCATCAAGAAAGCTCGAAAAATTGGTGGAAATTATGTAGTGAGATCAGCACGCCTGAAAACCTTTCTACACAGATTTTTAGATTTTTCGAAATTATTCCATCAAAAGGCTTGTTCCATAGTGACGATGTATGCTGAAAGTTCATACCGTAATCTTACAGTGAAAGAGTGATTGGTTGATTACTCCATACTGTAAATCTAAGTTTGTCCTCTCTCTACAGAATGGTACCTCATGCTCGGCAAAAGACGTGGAAGCAAAAGAGTTATCAACGATCAAACAGTGTGCACATCTTTTTGGGACACCCTGTACAATCGATAGCCCAAGGTTACTTTCATAATAGTGATTTTAGCCTGATTATGGCCAGCCAGCAAATATACCAGTCTTCTCTGGTCTGAGATATTGAAAGCGAAAAATGGGATAAACGAGAATATGGCTTGTTCTTTATTCCATAGTTTAGAGGTCTTTTAAAGTGGTATCTTAATGTGAGCAAAGAAGTAATAGTGCTTTGTATCAACTTTGTTACAAAGTTAACATGTTTGAAAACGACCAACTCACCAAAATGTGTGAAGACTATATGTCGCCGAAATGGGGCGGCTCCCGCTTTCATCTGCTGCAAATACGTGACCTTTCCCAAGAATGGAGGTGGTTTTTTGCAGGGAGTCCGCGCAGGACCCTCTCACATCGGCGACATATATCTTCCACCCGTGTGGCTCAATATTTGGATCAGAATTTTTTGAATTTGGACCACAGGGGCTATTTGACGTGCACATTATGGTGTTCTTATGCCTAGGGGCTCTTTCGTCATGCTTACCGCACGTATGCAATGGTAGGCCAAAAGATCAATGTGCTAGCTAGTGTTATGCATAATGGGCCTACCAGAAACTGTCAACGAATATCATATCGCTAACATCAGTATCGCCTCGAAAGCGACCCCCCTTCCCCTCACTGACCCCTCAATACGGGCTCTCAGGTGTGATGTGCCACACTCCACGCTTGACCGTGCACCTAACACCGAATTTAGAAGCCACCAAGTGTTTAGTGGTCGTAATTTCAGCATTTATTAGGCTGTCCCATAATTTTTATTCGACAGCGAGTGCACAATGCTACAAATACATTGTCATGCTTTTCAAAGCATAAAGTACAATACCGCTCATAATTCGTCAAAAAAGTCGCCGCGCTCTAGCGGAGTGCGCCACAGTGCGCTGCAATGCGCCGGAGTGCGGCGGAGTGCGCTAGAGTGCGCCGGAGAGTAGCGCACCCTTGCGAAGAGATGTCCGCAGAAAGATTAGGGTTTCCAGGACTTTTCTAAACGGAGATACGATTTTCTTCGATTATTTAGATCTTTAATGTTTCATGAGACTTGGCTCTAAACTTCACGCAAATCAAACCTGGAATGATATCCACGAAAGTCCATTTAAAAATGACTTTTCGCGAATGAAACGCGAATAAAATGGGCTTAGTCCCTGCGGTGCGATAAGATATCGCGTTCGCGAATCCATTCATTCCATACAAAAATGCTTCAGCAAACCTTTCTTCAACTTGCCTCAACCTGTTTACTCACTCTTGCAAACTCATTCCCACCAAGTGGTCGATAGCTAGGCTGATCTAACTTTACTATATCAGTCACGTGGATACTCCGTTCTTTTCCATTTCATTACACCTCATAGAATGCCATTTATTAACTATGACTATGCATCTAAATTAGTTTCAGTCCATCTAAAATCCAAGTAATATCAGGGCATTCGCTCTTCAAAACCTATGAATCTGCATTGAATTAAATTCGTATGTGGAGTTTCCAGCAGAAAGCAAACTTTGGCTAGACTTGCATTGCAATTTGTGAATCCAAATGCTTATCTCACAGAAAACCTTGTACTATACTACAACACAAAGGCTTTTAAGCTGGAAAAACTTTGGATCTGCAAAAAATTGATGGCTTCTCATGCTGTACTTTAGCAACCCCAAAACTTTCATGCAAATATGGCGTTTGCTATATGAAGCTGTTTTTCTTGCATCAACGGTGTGAGTTTGAGGGGTGGATATTAGTTTGATGACAAAGTCACTGAATTCAATTTTGCGTTTAGAACTTATCTAGGCATCCTCGCACTCTGATCCCAAGTCATATGTGCTTTTGATGATCAAAGTTGCTTAGGGGAAGTGCTACGAACAACTGAAGCAAAGCGGACTCATATCCGTCTCAGCATATAGGGAATGCTTGAACCAATGCCTTTTGCTATGGGCAGCCTTATTATAGATTTTGAACAGAATTCAAATTAACCGGTTGTTGGAAAAGCTCTCGCATAATCCAGTATCAATCAGGTAACCTTTTTCTCAACCCTAATGTGATGCTCTATATTCGAAAATAAAACAGAGTTCGCTTCGACGTTTTGGGTATTGAAAAGTGTTTTCGGTGACAAAATGACGTATCGAGAAGATTTTCTCTATAAAATGACTTGCTTAATTTTGGTAAATCGCGATTTTTTAAATATTTCCATACGAGAGCAAGAAGTGACTAATGTATAGACTATAGCTAGTAAGAAATTTTTCACAGAATATTCTGACTTGGTAGCGGTACTTCAGTACTTCTTGCTACCAAACTCAAAATCGCGAATTTTGAATTGCCGTCTTTGTGTCTGTCTGTCTGTCTGTCTCAACTGTCTACGAAAAAAAATTTTCTATGATTTTCAAAGCATTTCAAGGCTGTTCGGAAAATGTAGTTTCTTGGCCCTCCTAAAGAAGATAAAACTTTCTCCGTTCGCTTAGTATCTTAAAATGGGCTAGGGAACATATTCTCAAAAAATCGCAATCAAAAATATGCAAGAATGTCAAAAATGGGCTTAGTCCCAGCACATCTGGCTGCTGGAAGTAAAATGGGCTTATCAGAAAGGTGAGAAAGAATGAACATGAAGGTGAACTCCATTTTGCCCCATTCTAAAATGGACTTTTGACGTCATCTTCCGCGAGCGATAGCTCAAGTAAGCTTGAATCATTTTCATTTCACCGCTTTGCCTCGCGGTTGCGATGGGATGAAAAATTTTGAATATCGTAAGCGGGAGCCGATTTCGACCACTTTCTAACGCGAACGAATAAAATGGACTAGGTAAGTCCATTTTCCTCCATTATGGACTTTCGTGGATATGAGTCCTGGCGCGAATGTTCGCGCTTCATTTTGTAGAGCTTGCTCTGATCTATCGGTTGATAACCCGCTTACTTACTTTCGTGCGCACCCTGCTGCGATTTTGCATGATAAAACACGATGCGACATTATTTTCCGGACAACCTGGTACCTACGCATTTGAGAAGTTTGCAGAGATGTAGCTCACTGTGATTGTTGTCTTTATGGCGACTATCAAGCCATGAAAAGTCCATAAACCAATTCAAATCTACATTTGTTCTTCTGCGAAAGGTTTCATCCATTGCGAATCAAGGATTAAAAAGATTTGAGATGATTAGTTGTTTACAGTTTATTCGTGATAGTCAGCATTGCGCGGTGAGTGGCAATGCCGTCATTGTGTGAGAGTAAGGCTTATGATAGTAGAACCAGTGGGAGCCACGAAGCGGAGATGACGCACTGGTTACTGATATATTAATAATATAATTCTAATATTAATCAGACCTATGATAGCGTCACCCAAATAACTCCCTTGAAAACTAGGAGATTCAAGCTTGTGAGGCATATATAAATAATTCGCCAAAAGTGTCTCTGTGACAACATATGGGTGTGGCACAAACCCAAAAACGGTGTGGCTGCCACTCTTCTTTTGGCTGAGGCCTCGGGCAAAGTTCACGCTATTTCATGGCGTGAGCTCTGCCCGAGGCTTAACACGAATTTTCGATTGTTATACGCAGAACTTGCCAATAAAGTGACTTAGTATAATAATAGACCACATACTATTGTCTAGCTTTAGTGGTGTTATTGAAACTACAGCAGATTATGCTTTTCTAAATGCCTGGCGACATTGTTGTCGAATTCATTGTTTCCTGTCAAAATTTTCTACTAATTGTTCGCAGATTTATAGGGAGGCAGAGTCGCGGCAGTTTCGGAACATGGCGGTCTTTGACAGCGAGAGAGCACGAAAAGCAATTCTTGAAGGCGGTGTCTCACCAAAGAGGTCACGCGGAGATCCACATTTTTTATTATACAAACTCCATACATATGCCATTGCAGCAAGTGTGACTCGATTTTACCTCTCTACGCTGAGATAAACGCCCAAAAAGTCCGCTCCGAGCGATATGGTTCGCACGGCCCACCATTTGGCGTCTATCTCCATGGCGTTGCTCCCACTGTTGCGGAGACTAGATTGAAAAAGCCAAAACTGGTCCGCGTTGCTTTTTCGGAGCATTTGAAAAACGAATTTTCGAGCAGGTTATGCAATTTCAAACTCGCTTAGGATTAAGCAGGGTCGAAAAGGCTTGTGATATGCAAAAATCTTGACAATCAATTTTGGTGAGGTACTGCCTTTGAACCTTGAGGTACCCAGTTTATCCATGTTGTTAGAAGAAATGCGCAATCTCCTGTCTATGTATCTGGGAGCTGATCATACCTACGTAAATATCATTGAGTGTGTTGCACTCATGCGACTTGTTTAGCTGAACCTAGATGTCTCTGCAAAGAGAATACAAAAGCCATGCTTTTGGAATTGAGATAAAAAGCAATATCTTCGTCACAATACCCAATATGTTTACATGCTCTACGTATTGCTTGTGGATATTCGACGATGTTAGGGCGTGCGCGCATATCAGAACCATTGCAAATCGCATGAGTACGTTGAAAGCATCCTCCTATCTGTGCATATGTTGCAAGGAGTACTCGTGCTTTGTGGCAACCTAAGGAGGGTCCCCTCACGTAGAAGGTAAGATGGCCGCAAGAGGTGCTGCCTTCCGCGCACATCGTGTTGTAGCACTGAGCTCAAGATGGATTCGCCGTTGTAACTCACTTCGAATTTTGTGCAAAAGTGTTTTTGCATAACACCTCCTAATAACTGGAGCTGAAAAGAAATGAAACTGCCTGCTTAGATGCTATCTCCTGTCTTATCTGGTCAAACCGACATCATTCTTTCTTTATCAATATCTGCTAGAACGTGGAAAGGGGGAGGGGGGTTATTTGACCTTTTTATGAATATCACACTTAATCCGCATACGTCAGGGCTCGGCATGAGGTGGCTTTTTCAATTTTCCAAAAACGAAGTCCCTGTAAACTTCGGCACAAAAATACTACATCACCTATGTTGCGATCATGAACGCATCAAAACGAATAACGAAAAAATAATTGAACAAAACTCAAAACCAACACTGAACAGAGGAAAAAAACTGAAGGTGTCCGTATTCGTCGAATTGGTGGCATGCTGTGTCCGGCGCGAACCCCTGCGCGCTTGGAGCAGGTTGCCGCCGCCATACAAAATATTTAGAGGGCTGTAACTAGGCGAGGAAGAGGGGGTTTAGACAGATTCAAAAACTCAGTTGCAGGGTTTTTGATGCAGAACAAGGTTATGTTAAATTACGTAGTCACGATTATGTTATGTGTGAAAAAATTATGTAAAGGAAGGAGAATATATAAATATTTCTTTTCACAGCCACCTCAGGTGGCTGTCCAGGTGGCTGGAAAGCCGCCTAACTCGGAAAAAAGTTTGCCACACCTTGTTCACATAGCATTTTCATAATTTTTTGTGCATAGTCCCAACTCCCTATTGCCCATCTACACACCAATTTTGGTGTTATTTCATTTTCTCTTCGCTGTAAACAAGTATTTTGTTTATTTCGGGGCAGGTCTGGATTCGCGCGCTTAACCAGCGAACATGTTGAAACAGGAAATTTTTGGTTTTTGCAGATCGATAAGGCAGAAATGACAATTTGCGTCTTCTATAGAAAATGTGTGACATAAAGGCAGAAGGCGATTGTGTGTGTGTCTGGGAGGTTGGGGTCCGCTTCAACGATATCCCCCTTGCTATTCCCAAATATCCAGATTGCCCTGTAAGCCACCTGTGCCGAGCCCTGGCATACCTCAGATAATCGCCGGGGGCAGGCGGTCCGCAAACTCGCGCTTTTCTGCAGGCGGTCAGCAGAATTTTGGGGTGTGGCCAAACCTTCAGCGGGCGGTACTTCCGCGTCCTGCCAGCGGGCAGCAATACAGAATTTTCTGCGAGCGCTCGTCAAATAATATCTTCCAGCGAGCGCTGGCCAAACTTTCAGCAAGCGCTCGGACTCTTTTTAGGTATTTTCGGGCGTACGTCGAGCGCAGGTAAGACTCTGTGTGGCAGAGGTGTCACCGTTGGTTTAATTACTCAAGTTTGAGGTACTTTCTCTCAGCGGAAAGTACCTGGGGGTTGCGCGGTCCTCCACAAAGGAACGTGCGGCCTTCGAAATTTTTGCATATTCTCGCGGAAAGTCCGCGAGAATGCGGCCACTGCGCCGCAGCTAATCCATAAAGAAACCGCGATTGTTCTTCAAGCATTCGTCTTTAATTTTGCCAACTTTCTTCCAAATTTCTGCAAGCGGGCCGCAAAAAATCAACGAACTATTTTTCCGGTGCGCGCTTGCTCAAAATTCGCATGGCCGCCTGCCCCCGGCGGTTATCTGAGACGTTCCTATCATAAATTTCTGAAATAAAAATGGCCTAAAAATTTACAGCTGTATGCCACAACTTTACAAAAGTGCATTTCTCCATATAACTATCGAAACTCCACCCAGGGGAATCAACATTTCAAAAGGGCATGATATCAGTCTCAAATACTCCCGTATAAGAAGCTTTAGGAGTATCTGAAATTTTGACCCCTACCTATGATGTATCCCTTAGATTGTTCCCATATAATCGTCAACATGGCTGTCTCTTTCGATCATTTCAACATGTCAATCTTGATTAAGCGCTTCAAAGCACCGTCCACCCAGATGGATCTATAAGATCCCGATGTCTAACAGTGGCGGGACCCTCAATAACTGCCCAACTCGCGCTGTCTGAAATTGCTTCCAAGGCGAGAAAATCGCTTCGAAATTCCTTTGAATTCGCCAAGGTGCCTCCTCAGCAAGTGTTCGGTACGTTCGTTCCGTTCGCTCAGTGATTTCGCCTAGCAAGCGCATAGATCAAGAAATCGATCCAATCATGCGAGAGTGCGTCTCTGCTCTGGTAAGCCCGCAGTTGGCCAACGGCTGACCGCGGCGCAAGGAGTGCTCTTTTACTGCGGATTCTGGAGGGCATCCAAAACTCAATAATTTGATAGTCGCCCATGTTCGATCGTTTTTAATCTTGGTATCGTTAATAGTTGTGGGTATTGCTTGTGAGCGGGACTCCAGGATTACAGCTTCTTTACTGATGGCTCACGTTTCGGCGCTTTCGCCTTCGTCAGAGCCAGGAGGTCGGAGTCATAAGCAAATCATTCCTTCAGACGACAGGAAAAGGCTCAGAGTACTCTTCGGGAGAAAGGTAACGCAAAACATCGTCAGAATTACAAGGACAATACAAATTTCAGATAACACAGAGTGGAAGTCAGTAGACCACCTCTATACAAAACTATGCCTCAGCTCTTTTATATGTACCGGGATGACCTGACCTCATTTTTAAATTTGCATAGGGACTGATAGCGCGAGTTCCTGCGTGATGGCGATACACTCCTCATTCTATTCAGTTTTGGTTTTCGGCATTAATCCAAAACGCTCCCAACGTTTTGCGTGCGAGGATCTCGGGCTCATACGACAGATTCTTACTGCAACTTTTCTCGGCATTGTTAAACGGTGTTTTCCCAACGGCGTAGCTGCTCTTGACTTTTCCTTTCTATCCATAGGCTCTTTTACGCGACAAAAAAGAGGGTGCCTTGTTTCGCCAATGTATATAACCGCATGAAAGACATGTTATAAGGTAAATAACCTCGGACTGCATACAATCACCCTCTTTACCAAATGGGCAGACCACACACGTAGGAGTAGAGCAAGTACGGTCATAAGCTGGTTCCGAACAAGACGTCGTTTTAGATTAGCTGAAGAGATATCGACCACTCTTACCACGCCTTGCAAACCCGCCTGATGTACGCATCGCCGCAATGCACTGCTCAACTCATCGGAGATGAAATGCAGCCAAAACGATTTTGCTCGATCCACGAGCTCCACGCTGGCGTGGCCCATGGGTCCCAAAGGCGCGCACAGGCCCAGCATAGCCGCCGGAAGCCGCAATCCCCCGGCCAAGGCGACGAAACATGAGCGCTCGTCGCCGCCCTGGGATACACGAACAGCCGCTCTGCGCATGCTAGCCACAATGGATCTCCTCATATTGCCTGGATGTGCAGACGGAGAGCAAAATAAGATATTCACCACTGTGCTTGCGACACCAGTTTGTTCTATATTTCCCATTCTCAATATGAATCTTCACATTCAGAAACGCCACCACTCCTCAGTGGGCTTGTCCTTGGCTATCGCCGAGGACAGGCGGCCATGCGATTTCTGGGCAAGCGGGCACCGGAAAAATAGTTCGCTGATTTCCTGTGCTCCGCTTGCAGAAGTACGGAATGTTGGCAAATTTTCTGACGAATGCTGGGTGAACTATTGCGGTCTTTCTATGGATAAGTTGCGTCCCAGCCGCATTCTCGCGGGCTTTCCGCGAGAATATGCAAAATTATTGGGGGCCGCACGGTCCTTTGTAACCGCACACAGCCCGGAGGTACCTTTCGCAAAGAGAAAGTACTCCACACTTGAACACGGAAGAAACCGCTCGCTAAAGGTTTGGCCACGCCCCAAAATTTTGCTGACCGCCTGCACAAAAGCGCGAGTTTGCGGACCGCCTGCCCCCGGCGCGATATACTGGCCATAAAGCAAAGGTTTAAATTCAAGCACTGGTGCGTCTACCTTGGACATGAAGATAATGGCTAAAGTAGGTGCGAGTCGCTGTCCCAGCTAAGCTCCTATCCTGTTTGTAATGATGCCCCGTCCATCGGAATACTGTGCATTGCAAGCATTCGTAAAGAAGAGTCATTATACCATGGATGGTTAACCCATGCAATTGGAGCGAGGACTGATACTCAAAGAGCAACTCGCAGATAGCTTGAAGTGCTGCGTCATTTGACACATTCGTATACAAGATGTCACATCAAACGACTCGATGACACAGTTTTTGTTAAGCCGTATTTCGTGCAGACGCTCGAGTAGCATAATATTGATACTGCTGAGATGTGCAGGGAGAAACTTCAATAGCTGCACCAAAATAATGTTGAGGAACCATGTTATTTTATTCGTGGGGCCAACACCACTGATTATGGGGCGAACTTTACAATCGCGGTTGTTTGAAGTTAGTCCCACTGCTGGAGGTTGTGCGTCTTGATTAAGATGGAGGACTGGACAGATGGGTGAGTCGTTTGTGAGCTGCGTAACTATGCTTTTATTAAGCCCTGTCGATTGTGCAATTCCCACCCATTCCTATTTAAAAACAGTACTGTTTCCTAAACTTGTCAGCTGATGAAGGCACGTAAACTGAAGCGTCTGCCAGGCGAACAAAAGCTTTTCAAACAGGTTACCACACGATTGACATGCTCTATCGTGTATGGCGAAAAGTGCGCGCTATTTGAAAGCAAGGCTAAGATCAAATTGCTTGTTAGCGCACACAGAATCGTATGACACCAAAATTGAACTGTATGCTAGAAAATCATTTGCAAATTACTTATGCAAAAAGATTTGAAAAGTTATGTGAAGTACTACTTTTTTCAAAGTTAGTCCGTCTCCAGACGGTCACCAGATGATCTGAGATCGTCTAAGGCATATATTTCTGTCAATTCACATAAGTTTTGGATTTTTCTACCATGGACGGATGGTCAAAAATTCATCCCTGAGCGTAAAGACATTTTCATATCGTTGCTTTTCCCTTGTTTTTTGCCTTAATTTCTTCATAAACCGCCTTGCTAAATATCGCGCTCCAACGTCAAACTCTTGTGCATGCGTAGTATTCAGCTTCAATTTAAATTTTTACTCTTGTCTCACGTTTTTTTCTTTCAGACTAGTAAATTTTTCTTGTTTTTATCTTCTCCTACTCTGACATTCGTTTCGAATGAACGGCGCGCAAAAATAACGATTCCTACGACCCGCGCCTGTCGAGCGTATGAGCGGCGCGACACAGTTGGATTTGAGTAGAGCGGCGCGCAATTCGGAGTGTATCAGTACGGGCGGAGCGCAATTGACAAGCAGGACCAGCCGCGTGCCTTCAAACGTACAAGCGGCGTACCATAATATCTAAATTTTAGGATCAGCGGCGTTCCACAGCGTCCCCCCTATACGAGCGGCGCGCAATTCGGCGTGCGCGAGTACGAGCGGCGCGCAGTTGACAAGCAGTACCGGCCGCGTGCCTTCAAACACACGAGCCGCGTACCACTAATTTAGCTTCTGCAGCTTTTCAGGCAGGTCTATGTGTTCACGGCTACCATAGTCAAAGAAAGACGTTTAAGTTTGTGCGCGATCGTTATTTATGCATTCTGTATAATTTTCACATTTGTAAGTGCACAAAAACTATAGCGTAATTCTCACACGTTATAAGCGTAAAGGACTATAGCGTATTTTGTAGCCGGACGTTTACGTCAGGCTACAAAATTGAACGACACAAAGGTGCTATCGAAGATTGTCTTTAGGACCACCTTCCGACGTCCTCGTCCAAGTATTGTAAACATATTCACGACAGTTAGCATTTAGGGCAGCCTAACCAATGCGTCGTACCTTACGCAAGTATCCTTTACGCTTACAACGTGTGAAAATTACGCTATAGTTTTTGTGCACTTAAAAATGTGAAAATTATACAGAATGCCTAAATAATAATCGCGCACAAACTCAAACGTCTTTCTTTGACTATGGTAGCCTTGAACACGTAGACCTGCCTAAAAAGCTGCAGAAGCTCAAATTAGTGGTACGCGGCTCGTGTGTTTGAAGGCACGCGGCCGGTACTGCTTGTCAACTGCGCGCCGCTCGTATAGGGCTTATCAAATGAAGTGTCGCTTGCTCCAGCATCTCCACTCCCGCGCTGGACTCTGCGTCTCTTCCGCGCAGATGCTCTCTAATCAATTCAATCGATTGAGGCTCCGCCATTCCCACGCTCGCCCTGGAAAAGTACTCAGAGAGCGTTACGCGGAAGAGACGCAGAGTCCAGCGCGGGAGTGGGGATGCTGGAGCAAGCGACACTTCATTTGATAAGCCCTATACTCGCGCACGCCGAATTGCGCGCCGCTCGTATAGGGGGGACGCTGTGGAACGCCGCTGATCCTAAAATTTAGATATTATGGTACGCCGCTTGTACGTTTGAAGGCACGCGGCTGGTCCTGCTTGTCAATTGCGCTCCGCTCGTACTGATACACTCCGAATTGCGCGCCGCTCGTACTCAAATCCAACTGTGTCGCGCCGCTCATACGCTCGACAGGCGCGGGTCGTAGGAACTCAGACACTTTTTCCGACGGCCCGCGCGCCTTGAGCGTGCGAGCGCTCATGCCTCCCGCCGCCCGTGGATCGAAGGTATGCGGCTCGCTCGCTGAAGGCGCGCCGCTCGACCGCTCCTTTGAAAGCGTTGTAGGACTCTATTGTGATAAAGATAGCAATCCTTTGATAAAATTCATATTTTATCATTGAAATATGACCTCATAGCGTTAGATTTATTGCCAAACATGTATACAGGTATAATGATGGCAGATTTATTATCCAAAGACTTACAGAACGACATAATACAGAATCAAAAGCAGAACACAACAGGCAACAACTATAATATCATCAATACCTTTTACGCTAAGCACCCTTTTGAAAACACTAAAGCACAGCAGCCATGCTGATAATGAGAAAGCACTTTTAGATACCGGTAAGAATGACCTGACTGAGCAAAAAAAAACCGGAATATATGACATCCCAAAATGTGCAGCCGTACTGTCATGCGATTAGCAATATACCATAGCGAGTGGATGTCCGATCCTACCATGCGATTCAAACTGCCGTAAGTGACTTTAGCGCGTAGTACGATATCGGATCTGATAAAGTCATAGAAATAATTTGTATGTTTTTTTATCAAAATCAATGTACTCGTACTTACGTAGTAGACCGCTTCGTTAGAGTCTGGGCGATGCATCTTCGACAAAATTAGAAGGGCTGCCCTGTCAATTTGCAAGATTCCTTTTCAACACATTCATGAAGTGAACTAGGCAATGGAAGAGGCTAAACTCCTCGTAGAGGATTTTCAACATGAAACTCGCGTCTTTCGTACACGTTACCTGAAAAAAACAAAGTCTAGGAAACATAACAGAAAGGAAAAAAAGCAAAAGTTATGAACCTTGTGAAACTTCTAATTCCATCTGGATATCTGTGGGAGCACCTTCGTCTTCGACAACATTTTCCACAAAAGCATTCTCTCTACTGAAAACGGAACTACTAGAGGTAATAAAACCAGATAACAAACATACCCAGTAAGACATGGTGGAAAAACAGGTCTAGGCTTCGCATACGTTTGTGGTCCTCCAGATTTACGCTTGAGACTGACCGCGGCCCAATTCTCTTTCAAAATATTGTAATATCCCTCTATAACAAAAAAATGGCAACGCATTGATTAGCACTTTTTGAAGCCACCTTTAAATTTGTTGCCGGAGCCCGCCTACCGTATCGTGCGCGACGTTGGCCTAAATTTTTGTTTGGGTTTTTTTTGAGTGCGTGGTTTTTGTGTGCGTGTTATGGTTTTTGTGTGCGTGTTATTCTTTGTGTGCGTATTTATTTCTGTTTGTTTTATTTCTGTTTCCTTTGCATTGTTATGATTATTGATTCGTGCGTCTAGCACGTTTGGTCAGGCAGCACTCTTACGAAATGCGTATGGGCTAAATCATTGTATCAAAATTCTGCGATTGACTTTTCAAGGATGTCGTTGAATAGTCACTATATAGTGCCTTTTTGCTGCTATGTACATAGATTATGAGTTTTTTTTTCAAATCTGCTGTTTTCCTTCTTTTTCCAAACGTATTGTATTCCAAACCTACCTTCTCCTTTTGAAGAATCATCTGTAGTCACATCATGTGTTGACTGACTCGGTATTAACCTCAGGGAAACGCGTTGTTCTTTTCGGCTCAGCTGTGATTTACCTTGGAGCTCGAACTCGTGGGTGCTACATCACATCAATGATACGTTCAAATTGGAAGCATTACGCTTTCACTTAATTCAGTTTTTATTTACTAGACTTCTTGGAAGAGTAGAGGTCGGAAGGAAAGAAATGCATTTTTTCTTTTTATCCGAAGCCTTTTTCCTACATAACGAAGGAGAACTTTCCTCATCTCTTTCCGGCAGGCAGCGCCCAAAACCTGATCTTCAGAAAAAACGTACTTGACGTCATAGACCGCATATGAAACGAATCGCCAATTTGAGTGAGTGGGCGCGATGCAGTAGATGTTTATGCGATGGGATCGAAGCATAAATGCATTCGTTTGCAAGTGAGCTGGTAGCTCTCAGACAAATGAGCCGCTGCTTTGTGAATTCGATCTCTTCTACATCAGGTTCAAATGGTACTTACTCTGTAAGTACTCATGCGTTAGCTATAGAGTATAAGCTATATGGTATAGCTATAGCTATACCATATAGCTTATACTAGCTACTGGTAGCTCTCAGACAAATGAGCCGCTGCTTTGTGAATTCGATCTCTTCTACATCAGGTTCAAATGGTACTTACTCTGTAAGTACTCATGCGTTAGCTATAGAGTATAAGCTATATGGTATAGCTATAGCTATACCATATAGCTTATACTAGCTACTGGTAGCTCTCAGACAAATGAGCCGCTGCTTTGTGAATTCGATCTCTTCTACATCAGGTTCAAATGGTACTTACTCTGTAAGTACTCATGCGTTAGCTATAGAGTATAAGCTATATGGTATAGCTATAGCTATACCATATAGCTTATACTAGCTATATGGTTAGTCTTTGTGTGTGCTATTATATCAATCCTTGTGGTGTTTTTGAACTATGATGATCTTTTCATGTCTATGAAATTATTATGCATTCGCTCTACATCGTTTTTTTTTTGTTCTTTTGTTTTGCTTCTAGTTAGTTCTGTTGATCGATTGGTCGGTCGTTCGATATATTTGTGATAAGGATTTTTTTGCTCGGACGGAAAAGTAATGGTAAGCATGAGAGTTTTTGGTCTTGAAGATAAAATATTTGAAGCTCATTGCAGTTGAGGAATGAGTGGCCAGTTATTCATGAAGGATTCTGCATGTGGGAAACTGTTGATGATGCGGTGAGCATAACATTAGCTCCTTACTTTTCTGCACTCTTGACTTTTAGAATGAACCGGATGTGTCTCACACTATTGTACAGGTGGATACCGAAAGGTCAAGAATTTCAGCGGAGCGAATCTGCTCATTAATTAGTGAGCAGGGAAGTCTAGAAAGTCTCAGCTTAGAAGAAACAAAGCCTGTGCAGGTACGGTTTTGTATATCTTGTTTATTTGTGTTTGTATATTCTCTCCTATTATTTGCATTTTTTGGAGCAAAAATTATAGATTCCTGCGGAAAGAGTATATCGTATGTGGTATCCGGAACAGGTGCCGAAGAGATGTTCATCGAAGGATTTGTTTCATTGTAAAGTAAACGTACAAGCTGATGTAAAAGTAAATTGGGAGAAGTTATTACCGCATCCCGGTGTCATGAGGGAAGTGAAGGTTAGAATTTCGAAGTAATGAATGGTTGAAATTCCTTACACCTAAAAAAAGTCTGCAAAATGAAGAGCATTTGTTGCAGATGCGCGAGCAAGATCTACGAACTGATTTTGTGATAGGACCCAAGTTGCGGCAACGGTTACTCAATTATGTAAGGAAAAAGTGCAGGAGGAATATAAATAATTCTTATACTGTGCGTGTCTTACTTCCTTAGAAAAGAAAAGACATTTTATGCATATCATTTTAGGTTGAGGATCTTGATCCTTTTGCACGTGCTGATATAGCACATGAAGTTAGCGATGTACTTCGTCAGTTTACCGTTAGCGTGAGTGTATTTAGAATGTAATCATCATTATGAAGAATCGTGAGCTGCTGCCTGCACGCTGGATGTAAAAGTGTATTTGCTTAATGTTTTCGATCGGGGAGCAGTTTATGATTCTCTGAATTGGAGAATGATTGGATTAATTAGCTCTCTTTTGAAAAAACAGGACACATCCTTGTTAAGTTGTGTTAGTTGTTCAAGATTTCATTCACTTCTTAAGATAATATGCATTTGTAGGTGTACTATCCCGATGTAAACTACGCAGCTGAGACTTTCATGTTGCGTGATGCGCTGTTGAAAAAAATTGGAGAAAAGCGAAGTGCAGTGATGAGAGAAAAACTTGAAATTGCTTTACTAGGATCGAAAAATACAGTGGGTTGTTTTTTTTTGTTTACCCGGTATTGCGATTGTTATTCTATGTTTATAGAATCTATTGAGTTTATGAATTTTTTTTTTCATACAGATAGCTGTCAGCGACGGAGGAATATCCGAGTTACTACCAAACGGAAAATCCATGTCACTTATAGTCGATGTACCAAAGGATGAAGATCTTGGGAACTATTGTCGTTTCTTCTGCAAAATTAGTGTGCGTGTAAGTCCTCCTGTTCTAACAAGCAGAGCAGATTGCATCAATTTGTTCGTGTTTAGGCGTGCCGCTTGAAGCAGAGCGAGCGTCGTGTTTTAGCGAACTATTTTCTTTCAAATAGAATGGTGAAGTTCAAAGATCCGGCGGTTATCCAGTTTGCTACGGTTGAGGATAGCGAAAAAGCGCTGCGAACGCATTCAAGTTGTGGTCGAAAAGTGGCTGATGTACGATCGAATGAATTTTGTGCGATGTTTACGGCGTATAATTTAGTACCTTCCTCGAATTTTCATTGTTGGATGTGATGGTTGGAAGAATACAATTAACGTCACTATGACTTTTCGTGTCAAGTGGTATAAGCGACCATCCAGTGGGGTAGGAGTCGTGCAGGTATACGGGTCACTTGCTCATCTGCTATATTGTGGGATGTGCAACTTTTAGTTCAACACTCCGAGTGACGCTAAGTTGGCGTCGGATGTATTCTTCTATCACGGGTATTTAGAAGCCGAGCGGCATACCTGGTTTGGGAGTGATATTGTAAGTGTGAAAATTTTAGTTTCGCATGTTTCAGGTGTAGTTTTCTCAATTGAGAACTTTCAGAAGTCGATTAAGTACATATCTAACTGCTATCAATCTGATCGGCAATTTGATTATCATATTCGAGAACTTCTTGAGCCGAATGGCATCCACATTGTTCGTGCTTATCTGGAAAGAGTTACCACATGTAGAAATGAGTGAGAAAATTTGTTTCCACTCTTTCTACGGATTTGCATGTGTTTTGGTTTTTAGTTTGAGTGTGAAGGTACAACAACAGATCAGTCGCGCCGTAGCTGAGTATCTGATGAGGCGTCGCTTGTGGGATGGACATGTTCCTTTGTTACGTACGGAATGGAGAGCTGTAAGCTTCGTAATTGTTGGTGATAAAGCTTTTGGACATTTTGTATTTTCAGCTGCTTTCCTCCAATGAGTTACCATGGCGTTGGCATGTGCTGGATGTGGGGGATAATGAGGATATTGCCACTCCCTGTGAGGCAAATCTGATATTTTATGATGTGGAACAAGGCCTAGATTTGGTGGATTTTCTTACGGAAGGCACGCCTGAGTTTGCGAAACTCTATGATGAGAGGTCCAGTGCATGTCAGAAGGTCTGTAAAGTTTCTTCTATGATGTTAGGAGGTGCTTACATGCAATATCTGAGTAAATCATGTGCTAGATATTTATAAAGCCAGTTTACTGGATAACAGTCCTAGTTACAAAAGAGGTGCGACTTGCTTGTGATTCTTTTATAAGGTGAGGTCGAAGATTATGGTTGTAATTATTTCTTGAATTTTTCTTAATGTAGGCAACTCAACGACGAAGAAACAGCGGCAGCTCACGCCACAAACGAGGAAATGAACTGTTTGAAAATTGTTGATTTAACATGGAATAAGGGCCACAATAACTGCGATGACGTTGATACCAGTATAGGAGAGCTGAGCGTGCAAGGATGGCCAGTACGGTAAGCTTTTGGTAAAAGTTCAAAATTGAGCTTCATAAGCAGAGCATTGTATTTCTAATGAGAAAATCTAAATTTTCTACTTTAGGCGTGTTCAGGAGGTGGCTACGCGTTTGGTATCATTGTTCGAAGGCACTTATATAAATTGCTCTGATGAAGTTTATGGACGCCTCTTATATGGGTAAGCTACAATATCAAATATTTTATCTTCTCCATTTGATCCAAGGTTATAGACACGGCGCGAAATACGTTGATTTTGTTCGTGAGAAGTTGCGCGGTAAAGTTGTCATCGATGTCGATCTCTTGCGAGAACGAATCACAGTAGTCGGAGAGTCGGCCTATTTGGCTAAAAAAAAGTTGAAATTTTTCGCTCAAAACAGGTAACTGAAAAGCTCTATTGACCTTTTTGAGTTGTCTATCACTGCTTTATTTCAGACATGCTTTCAAGCTGAACGAAGTGATTACTCTTGGACCACCGCGCTATTTGTTCTACATGCGTGACGTACTATGCTTCGGCGTCGGCATAGACAGACTGAGGTGGGTGGAAAATTTTTTGTTGTTGATGAATTAGGTTGATAATACATGTCTATAGGGAGATCTGCGGTGGAGCTGATTTGGAATTCGTTGACAATGTGGGCATTCAGTTCTCCGGGACTCTAGAACAGTACGAACTGTTGACAAATTATCTGGAAGAGGTTGACGAACGGGTAGGTTACATATTCAGCTTACGGCAGCTTTTAGCTCTTTTCCCAAATGCGTATAGTGATATTATCAAAAAAAGCTGGACGTTACAGCTTGTGAGGTCGAGTTCCACAACGAACGTCTCCTCAAAACCAACTTGTCCTGTGTGTTTATCACCAGTTAGCAATGCTTTTTATTCCCTCGAATGTGGTCACTACTACTGCTTGAAGTGCATCACTTTTCAGGTGAGGTCTTGAGTTTTTGAATTGCTGATGCATTCTTATTTACAAGCTTATAGGTGTCAACGATGATCAGGAACAGACAGCTGCCCATACGGTGCGTTTATGATGACTGCGAAAAGCCCGTTGCTGTCAGTGACCTCAAGGTTGCTTAATTGGTCTATCATCCATTGTTTGCGTTTGTTGTTCTGAATAATTCCTGTTTAGGAGCTCATTCTTGGAGAAGAGCGTCTCCCCTGGCTAAGCGTTGAAAAATTGCGACCTTTGATTGACTGCAGTCTTGATTGTATTATCCGAAAACATTCGCATTTAAAGCGGTGCCCAACTCCTGACTGCTTTGGTTTTTTCGATGTGTGAAGATGTTAATCTTTATGATCAGATCATCATATTTATTCATCAATTTCAGGTTTCTGGAAAGTCTGGCGTGTTCCAGTGCGAATCATGTAAGAAAGAGAGATGCACAGGCTGCATGTTGGAACCTCATGAAAATCTGACATGTGAAGAATATTCTAGACTCAGAAGTAAGCTTGATTTGGACAAATTTCATCCTTTCCTCACCTTTTCTTCAACAATTCTCTTACAGCTGATGGCGTAGCTTCACTCAAGGCGTATCTCAGCCATAGGTGCGATAGGGGGAGCCGGGCTCTCCCCAGGTGAAGGGGGTCTCGGCTGTTTCCGACCTTCCAGGGTGAAGGGGGTATGTGAGTCTAGGGGGGGGGGGGGGAGGAAGAGAGAAAAGGTAAAAAAGCGTGGTATGAAGAGCTCTAATTTGTACCTTATTTAGGCACAAATTGAAAAAAAAAATTAAAATTTTTCAAAAAAAATTAAAAAATTTAAAAAAATTGGTTATGAAGATCTGTGCTCCTGTTTCATGCATCAACAAAAAACGAAAGCAATAATGTTTATCCCAAAAGATGTACAAGTTAGGAACAACTTCATTTCCTGCACATCATCATCAACAATATCACTATCGCTAACGTCAGAGACAACAAGTTCGCTGCCTGAAAAATCTTCTTCTTCCTCCAAAAGGTCATCGGAGTAGAAGTAGAATTGCGTGCAAAAGCGTTCTGAGTCGAAAATGGATTTGAAACTTTCTTCTTCTTTTAAGCGCTTTTGTGATTTTTTTCGTGGCCCTCTGGTAGCACCAGGAAGTCAGCAGGTAGGTGATCGGTTTCTTCATACCTTCTTTTAGGATATTTCAAAAAGTCATACGGTAACAGCCTGTCTGGACCACTTATATCAATCCTTTAAATGAAGTTTTTAGATAACAATGTGTTTAGTAGAGGTTGACAAATCTTAAGTATTTGCTTAGATGCTCTATCGTTGTACGACTTCTGCGTTGTGTTCTGATGACAGAGTAGATAGAAAATTTCTTTCTCTACCTCTGCCGTGCTAGTCGGAATGGAAACTAGCTTTGCTAGTAGGTCCATCAGATTTTTGCGGTAAGTAATGGGAAAAGAGCCAGATCTCATATGCTTTCGCAACGCGGGAAGGAAATAGTGTACTTTTTGGGCCTTGTCGAACTCTGGATTCACCTCCTCTGACATACGTCCTGTTAGCTGATTAGAAAGCTGCTCAACTTCTTATTTAATAGCATCTGCGGAATAGCCGAAAAAAGGAGGTACCATGCTGCGCGTTGGTTTTTTTTTTCAATATCATAGGTCATATTGTCACAAGGTGAATAACTTTCAAAAGCATAAAGCACAGAGTTGGGTTCGCACTCCAGCCGGGATCTAAGCGCAGTAACTATACTTTGTACTAACACCTTCCTTTTGTTCATATCCATGTTTGTGAATTTAGCAGCCTTGAATTCTTCAGCAACCTGAAGATCAGCAATGGACTTCCTGGACATTTCCTCATTGAAACTAGACAATCTGCTTGGATTCCTTATGCAGGAAATCAGAGAGTTTCGCTCAATTGCAAACTCTGTATCAATGTCGACAACATTTTCGTCGGCGTAAGATTCTCCTTCTGCCTCGCTGTTGAACTGGAACACGTGCGAGTCATCTGCGATTTTGTAAAGTATTCTGCCTGCCGTTTCCTCTTCAAACTGCCAACCTTTCCAAAACATTGAGGAGTATTTTAATAACATGTTATTCTTCTGAATGTCTTAGAGTTTTTAATTCATTGAAACCAACCATTCTCTACAAATTAGATAAGGTGAGTCTAGAGCGTTTTCACGAAAGTGACCTTCTTCAGCACTAGGTTTACAGAGTATAGATTCCAGAAATGGGCGGGTTTTGTGTGAAGGTGTGGAAATTCACCAATCTCCCATAGTTTTTTGAGTGTGTGCTAACAATGATGGCATAACTGTCAATCAAAAGCGCATTTTTTACCAAAAAAAACATAAACATATAACAACGATAAGCACGCTCAAATAGACGCGTTCGCTCACGTTCCCGTTAGTGCTGATAACGATGTCAATCCACAGCACATTTTTTACTATTAACTTGCTCCACCTCGCTCTTATTAGGTCGTCCAGAAAGTTTTTGCACACGAATTTCAAAATTCATAACTTCTGATTTTTCCAACCGATTTGACTGCTTTCACTTTTATGTGAACGGTAAGCCATGCTCTTTATAATGACATCTCAGCTGCTTAGTAATGGTCATCTGTTGCATAGATAGGAGCGATAGAAGAAAAATGGTAAAAATTTTAATTTTCTGTGTAGGGTTATAAAAAATCGGAGACTTGCAACAAAAATCGGAGCAGTCAGTACTGTAGGTTCTTTCATCAGCTCTTTCTAACAGTGCAAAGTTTGCGCCGAGCGTCTCCATGAAAAGTTATGATTTCCCTGAAGAATGCCAAAATAAATCAAATTCGCCTTTTTGTACTGCTTGCTCGGAAATTATAACTTTTCCTGGAGACGCTCAATCGTAGCAAACTTTGCACTGTTAGAAAGAGTTGGTGAAAGAACCTAAACCGACTGCTCCGATTTTGTTGCAAGTTTCTGATTTTTTATGACCCTACACAAAAATTCAAATTTTGAGTGATTTTGTTTTGAGCTTCTATCTATGCAAGAGATGACCATTACCAAGCAGATAAGATGTCATTAAAGAGCATGACTTACCCTTTCACATAAAAGTGAAAGCAGTCAAATCGGCTGGAAAAATCAGAAGTTATGAATTTTTGAAAATTGTGCTCAAAAACTTTCGGGACGACCTATACAATGTGTTGGCTTTTATGGGTTACCGGAGAAAATGATTTTTAGAGCCGGGAAGCAAAGAAGCCCTAACATGCTGTATACCATTCGAAAGCTGAGATCATGGAGAATCGACGTAGACCGTCGACTTTTTTCTAGGTCTTCTGTGCCGCGAGATATGAGGGATTTTATGTGCTTCAAAAATTAACTGATTTTGTGTCCTCACTTTCTGCTCTCCAAATGAATGCTACGAGAAAGTCGACGGTCTACGTTTGTTAATGAAGACTTGCTCTTTAACACAGATAGATAAGCAGCAGTGATTAGGTCTTCATTCGGCAGAAATCTGCTGTTGAAAATGACCATGTTTTCAGATAAAATGCTGAGTATCTCTCGATAGAGGGGGGCTAGAAAGAAGTCGACGGTCTAGGTCGAATCCCCTTTTCCTGAGCTTTCGAATGGTATATAGGTTGCTGGGCGAAAAAACGGACCAGTTTTCAAAAATGGGGTGGAGATATTTACTATTAGCTTGCTCCAATCCGGCTCCACCAATGTATTGGCTTTTATCGGTTACCGGAGAAAATGATTTTTAGAGCCGGGAAGCAAAGAAGCCCTAACATGCTGTATACCATTCGAAAGCTGAGATCATGGAGAATCGACGTAGACCGTCGACTTTTTTCTAGGTCTTCTGTGCCGCGAGATATGATGGATTTTATGTGCTTCAAAAATTAACTGATTTTGTGTCCTCACTTTCTGCTCTCCAAAATGCTACGAGGATAAATAAATAATATAAATAAACATAAATACCGTTTCTTTAGTAAATTTATGAGTGTACTTGTTGTTTGAGGTACTTAGCCTGCTTTTCATAACGATTTTTATCATATTCTCAGAGTACGATACCAATCTCAGCCCAGGTGAAGGGGGTCATCGGGAGTTTGGCCTCAAAGTGAAGGGGGTAAGATCCATCACTCCCCCTATCGCAACTATGATCTCAGCAAAAATGAAGGCAAAGCACGTGAATGTCCAACTAAAGGCTGTGGTGCCATCATTGAAAAAGGCGAAGGATGTTACCATATGCAGTGCACGATGTGCAATATTCACTTCTGCTGGCTCTGCGATTATACGGTAGGCGTTTGAGATTGCATTTAGCTTACAAATTCATGAGATTTTGATTTTAGAGTGATCAACAATCCAAAATCTATGGACATCTGCGAGAGAACCATGGAGCTATCGGCGCAGAATGGCCTGTCGATCTCGATATGCATCCAAACTTCCAAAGGCTCTTCGCACCAGCCCGCAGACTCGGCTTCATCGAGGCCTAAGACATACCGGACGACGTGGACGTGGACGTCGCGTAAAATAGGGGTTGGTCATTTGTTATCCTTGTCTCATCCCTCTTTTCAGTTTTCGAGTAGAATGGTTTCGCAATGGTTTTGAAATTTTGTTTGTTTTGGCTGTTTCAGGTCACCTCTCTTCATTCCAGTGAAAGAATTTGTTTGTCATAATAGGTCATTATGGCGTAGATTATTACATTTTTCGGTGTTACAAAATCCGAAAAATAATGTGCACCGAGCAAGACAGTTTGTCATTTCGACCATCTTTAGTAAGTATTCGTCGATTTCCTCTTTCCGCTGCAGTTTGCTTAGCGTTTTATGTCATCTTCGGTTTTCTCCTTCTTTTGTTCCTTTCTTGTTTACGATTATATTTGCTGAGAGTCGGAAAAAAGTTAGCACCTTTTGCATTCATATGTTCAAAAGGTTTTCTCAGCTACGTTGATTTGGTTTTTTCATAAGGAACCATCTTGTGAACTCTTCCTTTCGGTAAGACTCTCTGTCAATAATTCCCTCTGTAGATTTCAAGTTGGATAAGAATTTGGAATCTACCTATTTGATCTGGTATAGTCATTTTGATCTCGCACATCATGAAAAACAATCCTTGAGACTAAGAAACTAAAACAAAAAGCTTGAAAACTTTTATAGAGATTACTTCTTTTAATAGAATAGCTGGCAGAAGAGAGCCTGAAATAACAAGCTCAACGCTTTGCAAATGTTGTTTGGAGCTCAATATTTTTCGTCCTTTGTAAATTAGGCCACACAATGTACGTCTATTATGGGTGCTATTTAGTTATTTTTGATACTCATGATTTACGTGTACTTTCTGCTTAGCATAATTATTGGTTTAATTTACTGTTGTACATTTCCTTTTTTTGCATTTATGCTTATTGCTTATCTGAATCATAATCTAGTCAGGTTGCTGAAATTGTTATTCATTCATTCTATCTCGTCTCTTGCGTTTGTTCCTTTCTTAATTTGTTTTATTATTATATGAAAAGTTTCTACTGGTGCCACTGAGTTATTTTTGATACTCAAAAATACGTGTACATTTATTACTTAGCGTACTTACGGGTTGGGTTTCACTTATCTTTGTCTGTTTCCTTTCTATGTATCTGTACTTGTTGCTTATCTGAATCATAGTCTATTCATGTACCTGAAACTGTTTTCCTTGGTTTGTTGTTCGTAGTTTGTTTATTACTCATATGTAAGGTCTTTGTGGATGCTTCTGACAAGGGAAGTAATTTCAATGGCCGTGGGCTTTTAATATGCAATGCATACCATCTGAAGTAGCTTCGAATGCTGATTCTAAATCTGCTTTTCTTTTCTGCGGACCGCTCTTCTGAAGAGAGTTATGGAGGCCTGAATATCCTGTTTTGGGGCACTCCTTGAGTTTGAGGAAGCTACTACTTGCGTTGGTGGTGCAGTGGTGTAAAGGTTAGTAGTTGCCATTGAAGGTGAAAGGTAGTTCGAATCCGTTTGATTGAATTCATTTGAAAGGTTTTGGATTTATTTGAAGCGCCACTCCAATGTTGTTCTCCTAGTAACTTGATGGGTAGTTACGTGCATGAGAATTGCGCGAAGGTTTTTTCCTTAAAGGCAGCGTCCAGGCAGATCTGGACCCATGGGGCTTTTACGTGGAAAGTACTTTTGGGGCCCTAACTGAGGCACTGCCCAAGCGGCAGCTCAGGTAGTGCTCTAATGGCTGAGATATTCCCCTCGAAACTGGCCCCCGCGAACGTATTCGCATGGATTCATGGCAGTTTCGCGCCAGGATCCACGCTTTGCGCCATGAATCCATGCGAAACACGGTCGCGGGGTCCAGTTTCGAAGGGAATATCTCAGCCATTACAGCACTACCTAAACTGCCGCTTGGGCAGTGCCTTAGTTAGGGCCCCAAAAGTACTTTCCACGTAAAAGCCCCATAGGTTCAGATCTGCCTGGACGCTGCCTTTAAGTCACATTTGCCAAGGGCATTAAAGTATGTGTCTGGAGACTAATTAAAATGGTTTTTAAACTCACATTCGTAGTGCAAAATGGTACGCTCTGCACTGGATTCAAATCATTGGCCTTCCTCCTTCAATGGCAACAATTGACGATTGCATCACTGCACCACCGAAGCACACAGCAGCGCTCTAATTTAAGGATCGCTTCCAATAAAGATTTTCAGGCTTCCACAACTCTCTTCAGTAGAGCGCTCCGCAGAAAAGGAAAGCAGATTCTGAATGCGCTTTCGAAGCTGCTTCAGAGAGTATGCATCGCATATCAAAAGGGCACGGCCATTGAAAGTACATTCCTCTTAAGTCATTTTTGAAACTCAGAAAATACATGTACAGTTATAGGTGAGCATAGTTGTGGGTTGCGTTTCACTTATCTTCGTATTTTTTCTTTTTATGTATCTATGCTTGTTGGTTATGTGAATCATAGTCTATTCATGTTGCTGAAGCGGTTATCCATTCATTCTACTTCGTTTTTTCCGCGTTTTTCATGTTTTTAGTTTGTTTTATTAATATAATATAAAGATTCTAACTGCAAATTATGGACACAAACTACATGATGTTGCAATTGCCAGTGCATTCTTTGAATATTTTAATTACACATTTGTTGAATGCATTAAAAATTAGAATTAGCAATTTTGATTGCTTGAACTTGGGAGGCGGTCGATTGATATCCGGATAAGCTCTTGGAGGTTCCCTAGAAGTTCGGGCTTGTTCATCATCGCTCTGGCTTCGTCTTTGTGAGAGCTCAGAGGAGTAAAGCAACTTACCATGGTGCGAGGTATGCGCTGTTTCACGAGTACTGCAGTAAAGAAATTGTCAACTTACTCCTTTTTATTGAAAAATTTATCGTTTTTTCGTTTGCCTGTATTCTTTCCTATCTCCTCTTTAGTCTTTGCAAGTTCAAGTGCTCTTTTTCAAAATGCCCTGGCTGCGCTTCGAACAATGTGGGGTGTTCCATTTTTTGAGCCTTGAATTCAATGAGTTATTTATTGCTTGCAAAAAGATCTAAATACCGTGGCAGGTAATAGTCGGTTATTGTTTCATCTTGTCAATGCACAGGGTATAGAATGGATTTTCATATCAAGTTTCTGGACGCTTTGCGCGTGCATAATCTGAAAAATGTGCATTTTCGCAGACCTAAGCGGAACGAATTTTTCAAACTTTTTTGGGCATTTATTCTTGGTTCATGGTCGTTTTTTTGAACGTGTATAGTGTGTTATGTAGATAGGGCTATCGCGCACTAAAATCACATTTCATAGCAGCCTGTTGCATTCGCGTTCGTTTTTGGTGCTTACGAGAATAACTGGCAGAAGTTTTTTTATAACCCAATATCTACAAATCGCAGGTAGCGCGAGGTACATTCTTTTCCATCATATCAAACGCATTTGAGTCTTTTATTATATGAATGAACAAGTTTTACAAGAGCATCTTCGTCTTTTCCAAGCTTACTTCACTTCTTTCAGAATCATTTCAAAAGTCGCGTATACGCATGTTTAGAACATTTCGGATTGAAAATTGCGAACACTTTTTTACCTTGGAAGGTATTCTTTCAATGATGTACATTCCACATTACATTTACATTACATTGTAGGTTTTCAGGTTGCGTATTATATCTCGAGAAATAATTATCGTGGAACTTTTATTGCCACGAAACGTGGCGAAGGTCATTGATCGGAAGGTAACCAAATGGACAATCTTCGTGATCTCCGGAGGTGAGTGTTACTTGCTATCAACACTACTGGCTGAGTAGTTATGGAATTAACACACGTTTCCGTATTTTAACACGTTTCGGACCGCGAAATCGCGCGTGGCTGAAAGCAGTAAGGGAAATAAAGGGAGCCAATAAAGGGAGCTTATTTTATAGACTGTGTGCTACTCTGTGATATCAGCATGTGAGATAAGCTCTACACCGAAAGTTCTGAGTGAATTGGAAGCGTTTGAATTTCGTCCTTGTGAAGGACTTTTGTGCTTTCTTGAGATATAGAAACAAGCACTCAGTTTGTAATATTGCCCAATAGTATCTACGTTGTCTAGAATACACTTCATTACTGAAACTGCAGTTTTCTCCTTGAAATACGAAAAAAGAGAAGTTGCGACGTCGCACACGTTGTTCGCATTGCGGCCGTTCGTTGCAACTGTGTCCGATTTGTCCTCATATCTTCTAGACAAATATCGGCGGCATAGCTCTGCAGAGTCATTTGAAAAGGAGCTTGGCCTTCGATTTCATAATCTTGGACAAAAAGAAAAGCTGTAAACGTTAATAAGAGCTCTCAAACGCGCGTGCTGCACCATGTGTAGCACCTGTCCGAAACGTGTTAAGGAAGTATAATATATACCGATTGTTATCGGGTAAAGTCAACGGAACGATTACTCACTGTCTATAATTATGTTGAATGTGTACGAAAAAGCGTATGATGTATTATTGGGGATAACCAATACATGCAGTTTGCGCTTCTTCTGGGTTTAAGGAATACGGTAGCAGAGATTGTGGACTTCGCTGTTTGGATTCTTTCGGGACTTAGGAATATGAAGTGGAGAGGGGCGGAGGTGGGCGGTGTTGACTTGGGGTACTTGGGGTATTATTGGGCATAACTAGCATATACAGTTTACTTTTTGCCATTAAGCGATACGGTAACGGAGATGCTCGACTTCCACGTTTCGGTTCTTTCGGGATCTTCGATTATTGCGAATATGAAGTCGTGAGCTCACAAAATCGGCGACAATCGCCGAGAAACTGCAGGCGAGTATTGCGATATGGTAGGTTACTGGAGGTGGGCGGCATAGACTTGGGATACTTATGCTTTTCTGCTATAACGGAGCGATTGCTCGCTTTCAAAGCGATGTGCGTCGCGACTTGGACCTTGGGTTAATAGGAAGTTTTAGTATTGTTAGCTGCAAAAAGCTCAAGACACTCAAACTGAAGTGAACGGTGGTATTAGGGCAGTGACTGAAGTGGCGATAGTTGGCCACACAGGATACAACCGCGCTTGCAACGCGGTCGGCTTTAAGATTGGAGACTGCGGGAATAGGTTAATAGAAATGTATGGATTGCGACACTTTCATTAAGTACTGAGCGTCTTAGTCAGGGGATTTACAACGGTGAGAGTCTGCGTGCGCAGCATTCATGCATCCTTAAGTGATGCTGTTTGTGCGCGTACGTAATGCAGCAGCCTTAAGGGGAAGCTGGTGTAGCTTAGTGATGAGGTTCAATTGTTGTATTGAATTTTGGATGTGTAAAATTATGTTATGCGTGGTCAAAACCGTAAACTAATGGTAAACTGTTTGATTTAGTTCTCAACGGAAGAGAAACGAATTATATTCGGTGAACAAGGGAACGAATACATTGTGGCGACCACGTACATAACGTTTTTCAAAATTGTCTTATTTGTTTCAAAAAAATTAATTTTGTTTGTGTGATGTTTCAAGTACAAGTTGTGTTTGGTGTGTGTATTAAGTTCCATATGTTTTGCGTTGTATCTTTGGTTTAGTTACATACATGGTTATTGTTTCATTCATGAGATGTTTCAGAGGACAGTGCTTTCTGTCAGCATTACCGATATTATTGAGGATATCAAGGATAGGAAATCATCAACTGACGCCTAGGACATATCGTCAAAAGTCGAGTACTTGGTTGTCGCCGAAGGACAGCATTCGTGATGGCGTTTACCCAGTGTGTGAGCGAGGCCAACATGGTGTGTTTAGAAGGGAACGCATGGCTAAACGACGACGTTATTGTTGCGTTTATAACAAAGGTGGCGCATGGAACGATGTTTTCTTGTTTGGATCCTTGTTTGATACAGACAGGGGAATCCTATAGAATTTCGGCCTATCCTATGGTGACTGGGGAACTCTTGTTTCCACTGAACATGTATAGCGGAAGGCATTGGAGTCTTGCTTGGCTGCGAATTCTCCATGGGACTATTGTTCTATATGATTCAATGGCTCAGATGTATTCGTACTGTGCATCTATGCTTCCTGTTCCCGAAAAGAATATGCTGGAAAGCGTTTGGCGGAAAGTAACGAATAGGCAGCTGCGAGGTATCATAGTTTCTGGAGCAGTGCATGTACAGAATGATGGCCACAACTGTGGAGTATTTGTATGCCTTTATGCTGAACGTTTGTGTAAAGGTGAGGAAACTGTTCAAGAGGATGCTACAGCGTCATTTTTATTGGCTTATCGTCAACACATCAGACAAGTTATTACAGGAAGTAGCTCAGTGACTCGTGGAATACATGGAGAATTTCCGCATACGGATATTAATGCAAACGTTTGCTTCTGTGAACCAGCGCAATACGGAATTTCTGCAAGCGCTATTGAGCATAGCGACATCGAGGATGGTGCTACTTCTGCAATCACTGCTGATCTTCAAGATGGCTGTAGTACTGTGAACGATTTTGATTGGAATGAAGCATTCACGGAGAGTGAAGCTGTCGATGATTTTGCTCGAGCATCATTTTCTAATCATGTAATGTTGGAAAACATGTGGATTTCACCGTGCATACTTGCACAGTACTTGCGGAAAAAGTATGCATACCTTGATTATATACGCTTCATTGTCATCGATTGCGACGAGTGTTCGATTGGCGAAGATGGGATGATTGAAGTGCAGTTGTTAGTTGTTTTATTCGCCACTAGAACGAAGCATCTGGGAGCTGTTGTTATAAGAAAGGAATTTCCCAAAAGTCATGGTGTGATCCTGGATTTTGTTGGAAAGCACATCGAGCATGTATTTCGACGTCGTTTGAAGGCCGTTGCTGTTATGCAAGGAATCGGGGACGTGTCATTTTTGAAATATCCTGTTATGAAAGATCCCAAGTGGTTACGTTTGGAAGTGCAGGCGACCGCTATAATTGAGTGGATAGACGGCTTCGTGAACGACGTAGATTTAATCGTAGAAATTCCTGATGATGATTTTGTTCGCTACACTTGTGATGATATAGAGAGTGTGTTGAAAATCTCTCTTGTTCGAGAACGTAGTAGACGCAGTGACAGAAGAAGGAATGCTGTTTGCGACAGGATTGACCCGGAGTTTTACACGATTGGAGAAATGAACAAGATATGTGGAGCGTGCGGTGCATTGCTGTTTCAAAAGGAGAAGCAATCTTCATGTTGTAACGGTGGAGAAGTATTTGTGCCTACTGAAGTTTTCAATCCGATTAGAGATCCTTTGTTGGAGTCATTTTGGAAAACTATGTTGAGCAATGAGCAACTGTTCTACATGATTCGACCTTTGAATAATCTTCTGGCATGTGCTGGCGTGCAGCTGAATTTGCGGCAGTTCCCTGGAGGGTCTGGACAAAGGCCTTTAGTCTTGCAAGGGCGCTTTGATGTTGGGTTGTGTCATCTGAATGTCGACTCGGAGAGAGCTTCTTTTGCTCAAATATACATCGCCGATGACTTCAAAGTGCAACGATCTATACGGGAAGTAATGCAAAATTGGGAGACTAAAATCGATTATTCACTGATACAGAATGTGATGGATATTTTGAAAAAGCATAATCCCATAGTGCAATCATACATGACTATGTATGAAATCTATATGGAAGAGTTGAAGAGATTTGGTAAGAAGAAAAACGAGAATATTCCTCAAGTTGTGATGAACATCAAGCAAAAGAGGGAAATTCCATCTGCAGTCATGAGAAACGTACACCCGGGAACACTTAATCTTCCCGTATTTGAAAATCAAATAGCAGCAATTTATTTGTGCAAAGATGGCGTCATGCCTTCTCACGAGGAGTTAGATGCGGGATTGATAATAAAGTCACGGGGTGGCAAAACGATTGCACCTCATCATAGTTACAATATCGATGCACTTACGTACCCGTTGTACTTTCCTCGAGGAGAGCAAACATTTGTGAAGGATGCGTTACCTAAAAATCGTTCAAGAAAGCGTGCACGCGAGGTTGCTGGAGATTGTTGTAACGAGCAGTATCTTGAAGGCGTCTATACTGATGCAGGTGTTGATGACATGTATGAGGATGATGATGATGGAGACGAGAATACACGGAGGAATAAGCAAGGGCGTAAATCATGTTTCATCTCTCGTCGGGAATTTGTCGTATACATCCTTGCTCGACGTGCAGATTTTCGTAATCATCGTATCATAGGAACTGGAAAACTTTACGCTCAGTACGTGTTGCACAGTTTTGCTCGCATCGAAGCAGACAGATTATGCGCTATTGGCAAACATCTGACAGAGGTCCGCAGTACAACTGCAAGTGCTTTGTTCAAGTATCTGGATGGCAAGTTAAATGAAAAAGGCGTGAAGTTGGGAAAACTTGTTAATATGCCAAGAACATATGTTGGTAGTAGGAAGTGGTATCAAAGATTGTACAGTGACGCTATGGCTGTCTCTCTGAAACTAGGAAAACCCGATTTGTTCATCACATTCACTGGGAATCAAGAGTGGCCGGAGATCAAAAACAACTTTGTTGGAAAATTTGATATGTTGCCGCGTATTTTTTTTACGTCTCACGGAATTCATTGATGACATCAAGAGGAAGGAGATCTTCGGAAAAGTAGTCGCGCTGCATGGAAGTATAGAATTCCAGAAGCGTGGAATGCCTCACGCTCATCTTTTGGTTACGTTAGCTAACAAAGTTGACACGCCTGAGAAGATAGACTCCATTATATCGGCTGAGCTTCCGGACTACCCAAAGAGAGATGATCCAGAGAGGGAACGTAAATTGCGGCTTTTCGAGCTCGTACGAAAACATATGATACATGGACCTTGCTCTGAGCGGCCTGAACTTGGATGCCGTGATGCTAATGGTGCGAACTGCTCGAAAGGATATCCGAAACCATATAGAAATTTTACTGAATTGTGCAGTGGTGGTTATCCACTTTATCGGAGAAGGGATGATGGTAAAGTAGCTGTAGTAGGCAAGCTGGGCAGAACGTTTGCTACTAACAGGGATATAGTGCCAACCAATTTGTGGCTTCTTCAGAAACACGAATGTCACGTAAACGTGGAAGTTTGTGCTCCGATTCAAGCATTCAAATATATTTTCAAATACGTGTTCAAAGGTCCGGATTCTGTCGTGTTGGAGCTACTGCACAATGATGATTTGATGAAGAAAAATGTGTACTTGAATGAGAAGAAGGAGAAGTGCTTGAATCTCGATATGCGGGAAGTCTACAGGCTGGCTCGTTATGTGTCTCACATGGAAGCAGCATATCGCATATTGCGTTATCCTATGCACTACACGATGCATACTGTTATCACGCTCATACCGCATCTACCAAATGAAGAACCGATATATTTCACGAGCACGGCAAAACCACCGAAAAGGAAAAAGAGCAAGCTGTTGGCTTACTTCGATCTTGTGAAAGAAGATGACCGTGCTAGAAATATGACATGGGTGGAAGTTGCTGAAAACTATCGCTTCACCGGTACGAAATATGTACCTTATAAACGCAAAGGATTACGCATAGCCAGATTGAGTTTAGTGAATCCGAAAATGCTTGAATTATATGCTCTAAGGAAACTTCTGCTGTACAAAAAAGGTGTGCAGAGTTTTGAGCATTTGAGAACTCACCGTGGTAAAGTATACAAATCTTTTATGGAAGCCGCGCAAGCTGCTGGTTATATAGAGAAGACCACGGAATGGGAAGATTGCTTGCGGTCTGCTTCAGCAACAGATATGCCATCGTAACTGAGACGGCTTTTTGCGCACATTGTTCTTTATTGTAAACCGTCAAATACAGTGGAATTATGGCATAAGTTCAAGGCTGAGATGCGTTCGAATAGACGTTGCGATTCGTATGCGGAGGAAGACTTGAAAACGATAAAGTGTATCAAAGGAATAATCACAGCAAATGGGATGACTATGGCGGATTGTGGTCTTGATGAGGTTTATGACGAGCTTATCAATAATGCAACTTCTTCTAGCAACGTTTCTGAAGCTGTGGAAGAGGATGTCAACCGCACGGAGTATGACAATCGAGTGGAATTTTTAAACGAGAAGCAGAGAAGGATTGTCACGGATGTAATGAATGTGGCGAAGACAAGGAAAACAAGCGGAAATCGCATGTTTTTTGTTTACGGTAAAGCGGGATGCGGTAAAACGTACACGTTCAACACGTTGATTCGGTCATTGCGAAATGATGGTTTATCGGTGATTGCTGTTGCATCGACTGGGATTGCTGCTACTCTTTTGGACGATGGGCGCACTGCACACAGCACTTTTTGTTTGCCGCTCAAACTGCATGCTGATTCTGTCGCTGGAGTGGATGCTTCTTCCGATAAAGGGAAGATGTTACGTGAAGTCGATGTTATTGTGTGGGATGAAATATCAATGCAGACTCGCTATGCTGTGGAGTGTGTTGATAGGCTGCTTCGTGATCTTGCTGCTCCCGAGTATAGAAATCTTCGCTTCGGTGGTGTGGTTATGGTTTTCGGAGGGGACTGGTGTCAATTTCTTCCTGTAGTTCTAGGAGGATCAAAAATGGACATAATCAACGAGACGTTGAAGTCGAGTGCACTGTGGAATGATATGCAGCTTTACGTGCTGGATGAAAATATGCGGCTTCGACCGGGTGAGGAAGAGCATGCGGCTTGGTTGCAGGCGGTTGGAGAAGGGAGGAATTTCACTCCCGACGGTGTGGATATCGAAATACCGGTTGAGATGTGCATGGAAAGTGAAGAAGACGTCATTAAATGGATGTACACTGACGAGGTCATTCGTTCAACTGATCTTATCGGCAATATGGCACTATTAACCGTCCGCAATTGTGATGCCCTGGAGCTTAATCTGAAGGTGTTGAACATAGTATCAGGTGAATGTGTGGAGTTGTTTGCCATTGATACTCCGGCGTCTGAAGAGGAAGATCTTGTGGGGATGCCATGTGATGATGAAGAATTTATACATCATCTCACTCCACCTGGTATGCCTGAGTATAAGTTGAAGGTGAAGCGCGGAGCCATAGTGATGCTTCTTCGTAATATAAATGTTCTAGAACGTTTGTGCAATGGAACTCGGCTTGAAATCCTGTCGATCATGACTGAACGGCGCATGCTTCGCTGCAAAAACTTGCTGACAGGAGAAAACACTTACATCACAAGAATGCCATTGGATTTTGCGGACGAACATACTGGAGTGGCATTTCGACGGTTTCAGTTCCCAATTAGATTGTCTTATTGCATGACAATCAATAAAAGTCAAGGTCAAACCTTTGACAAAGTTGGAATTATCATGCGAACACCTTCATTTGCTCACGGGAGCACTTATGTTGCGTTGTCGAGAGCGCGTTCAAGGGATTTCGTGCGTATAACCACCAATTCTCGTCGAAAGGTCCCCCAGTCTTTGAGGATTAGAAATATAGTGTACGAAGAAATGATTGCGTGAAGGTTAGAATTTACGTAATCATTTATGTAGAAAGAGAACCCATAATGTTTAGGAATGCTGGTAAAATTTGAGTGCTTGCACATTCCTTTGTGCTGCTTCTCATCTGAATACCGTGTTTCGTTTTTTAAGTTGCTCACGAAAAATCGTATATTAAAAAAGGATGAAGTCAAGTCAGATCTAGGTACTTTACGAACATGGTTATGAATATGGTGTTATAGAAGTTCCATGTTCATTCCCTTATGTGCATGCTTAATAGCTATGTACATGTGTGTTTACTATCTAACTGCACGTATATAATTTAGATTGTTACATTAGAGTTTAGAGAAGTTGACATTAGAGAATTTAGAGAGTTGTACACCGACAATACCGGTACTGGAATTGCTTTGCTATGGGCGCCAAGACCATTCAACATCCGGTTCGAAATGACCCGTAGACGCACGATGTTCCTTTGGTAAAGATTTGGTACAGAGAGCATTGCGCAGCTGGTGAGCACCCTTTCTTATGATGTATCATTCAATTTATTTAATGTTCCCCACTGTAGAGCCGCTGTTATGCACCATATCCTTTACTTGACTCCTGAGGGAATCAAGCAGAATAAAGCTAGAGTCATTCTGCAACACCTTAGTGAAGCCTGGAGATGTTGAATGGCGTACATTCCATGGAAAGTCTCAGGATTGCTCATAGGAGTGGAGAATATGATCGTTCGTAACCTCGAAGCTACGGCGGACTGGTGGACCAATTCTGTTTACTGCAATAGAGAACGTGTGCGTCGTGGTGCCACTGTGGAAAAAATTGTATATAGGGCGATTCACCAGGTTATACTTGAAGGTGAGAATGCTTTTTTTGCATTTTGGATTAACTTTTCGTTTTGAAAATATTTGTATATAGTACTTTCTGCATTACCTGTCTTTGATTGTTTAAGCTGAGCAAGAACGCCAGCTAATTACCTGAAGGACGGCGCTTATATTTCCGGCGAAGAAGCCGTTGCTATTTATGCCACAACAGTCCATTGGCTTGAGTTTAGGAGATTCTCCCCGATTCCATTTCCCCTCTATCATACAACATGACAACAAAATTGTTGATCTTGGTAGGTTATTCGCCGTAGCTAGAGTTACTCTTGCGAACTTCTTATTTATAGGCTCTTGAAAGGCTGAAGGAAGCGTATAGCGTAAAGAAACGACTCTACAAGTCACAAAGAGAGGAGCTGGCTGTGATTGAGCAGGCTTACGGCAACCCACACGAGGCATTGTCACGTAACAAGCGAGACATGTTTACCCAGAGGGCCTTCAAAGTATCTATTTCGCTCCTGTTGCTTTGCTTGAGAGAGGAGCTGCCTGTGATTGAGCAGGCTTATTACGACAACCCACACGAGGCATTGTCACGTATAAAGCGAGTTGTTATCGAGTTCATGGATCTATGCACCCATCCAATACCAGAGTACGATATTGAGCTGCTTGAGAAAGTGACTGATGCCTACCTTGACCAGTAGCTGTGGTACGAAGCTGACAAAAGAAGGTGAGTTGAGCTTACTATCGTTGAAGAGGACAAAGGGTACGTAAGATAGATATTCAATAGGTGTCAGTTTGTTTTGTTCTTCTGAAATTATCTTGAAAATTCTTATTCAGGCTGTTCCCATGATGAATCAAGCCTGGTGACACTAAGCCACCTCCACTTCTTGTCCACAAATGCTGTTAGGGTATTAACAACTTGCAAGATGTGTGCGAAACTGGAGAAGGTATATCTTAAGATGAAGAAAATAATTTTCTTCTCTCTCATCTATTTTTATCTAGGAAAATGTAATGTGATGATGGAGTTTAAATTAGAGAAAGTAGCTGAAAAGATGGATTTCACACTGCTTAGTACATTGCTGAGGTAAGTACTTTCTGGTGTATGGAAAAGCAGTTTTGAATTAAGTTCTCTTTTAGGCTGATTGTGGATCGCTATATTGCTGATTACGTGTTGTCAAAGAACGACTTTCTCATAAACTACAAAGATATGAACCACACGAATTCCTTCGGAATCATCTGAGGACTTCAGTTTGCTTTGTTCATCATAAAGGTAAGTGCTGGACCTTGAGTGTCCAGAATTATGGTTTTGACTTTTCAACATGGATGTAAGTATCTCATTTTAAGTACTGCGGTTTGGTGCTCGATCTCCTCATTCTCGGTCTGCGACGAGCATCTGAGATTGCTGGCCCGGCACAGTGTCCAAATGAGTTTTTAACGTTCCAAGTGAGTATTTATTCTTTTAGCTCAGCTCCCGGTACTTGTTTTTGACTCCATCCTTGTCAGGATACTGCTACGGAAACAGTGCATCTCGTCCGCCTATATTGCAGATATATTGACAGGGTGTGGATCATGCTCAGGTAGGATTTTTTGCAAGTTTGCTGGTAATCACTAATTATTGGATTACAGCTTTTCTGCTGACGAAGCACGTGACCTGATTCAGTGATACCTTACTGAGCATCCTGATCCAAACAACAAGAACATTGTTGTCTACAAGAACGAGAAATGTTGGCCTTAGTGTTGCACGGAACTGGTGTTCTGGCAGTGTAGTCATGAGGAGAAAGGAGAATAATTCAGCTTGATTCTAGCCATAGGGACGATATCGTTTATGGTAAGGCGTAAATTATTAGTTGGCCATTCTTTTAATTACCATGTGTTTATTTAGGTGTTATATCACATAACTGAAGCACTCTGGGAATCTTATTCACATTTGTGAATAAGACTCCCAGAGTCATCGAACCGGTGTATCTGGCCCAATGGGGCACAATGTGGATTATGATGATGAGAGAAAAGCGTGATCGTCGCCATTTCAAGGTAAACTATAAGTTGCCCTGGTCTCAAGCTTTGAGGTCCCGAAATTGAGAAAATGTCGATATCGCTGTCATTTTAGCGAATGCGATTCCCACCCTTTGATGATGAAGAGCCACCGCTTCATTATGCTGATTATATCCTCAATGTAGAACCTCTAGAACCTATCCAGATGAATTTAAATGCTGAAGAAGATGCTACAGTAATGGAGTGGTTCTATGACCACAAGCCATTGGCATCCACTAGGTATTATTTTTTTGTTGCTTTTTGTTCTAAAAAAAGCATACTACTTTCAGATCTGTGAACGGGCCGACCTACAGACGATGGGCGTTCAGTATCCCGATTATGGCGACCTTTTATCGTTTGGCAAATCAGCTTCTCAGTGATTTCACTGACGATAATTATTATTAATTGTTCGATTTGAAGTGGTTCTTCACAGTCAAAGCTCTGAATGTAGCATTTCCTGGAGGACGAAAGTTCGAGCCTATTATCAAGGATATTAATCTGTAAGTTCTGCCTCATCCATCGTTCATGCATTCGTGGAAATTTTCGTTTCGTGAGTCGCTTTTTATAGTGACGAGGACTGGAATGAGTTCAGTGACATTAACGAAGTCATAATTCGAGCCCCTATTCGAACTGAATACCGTATTATATTCCCGTACATGTACAACAATCTAATAAATGCATTACCGGTGACAGTCTCATGGTTAGCGGATTGTCTTTCTTTTTATGAATCTGAAGATCAAGATTTCATGATCATCATGTCATTTTTAGATACTATCATAACCCGTCCGTAGTGTTTAGCAAGACCGAGCATCCCGATCTGCCAGCATCCTACGTCTATCCGCTGTTCAATGCGTTCGCGATAAGTGAACTTGAAAAGGTCCGAACTTTTCCACTTCTCAGTACCCATAGATACTGTCAGCGGGTATGTCGTTCCCTAACATTAAGCTGGTGCTGAGATGCGCAAATATGTTGGGTTTTGCCGCAAGAATCTAGGCATTTCCCTGAATGATTGCGCGCAAGCAAATACGTTCTAGGCGTGATTGACAATAGTACTATAGATGTGTTGCTTTAGATTTAGGATGTGACAATTAATTAGGAGGTTCTAGTAGTAGTGGTTCTTTCACAATGAGAATGAAAATCTGCGTTTTAGACCGTGGAAAATCTCCGCGATAATGAGAAAATGGAAGAATTTGAACTTCCGGAAAACATTGCGGGAATATTCGAGGGGGTATAATATTTAACTCTTTACCTCGCATCACGTCATCCAACCGTATAGTCTAGGTCACATTGTACACTGACAATACCGGTAATGGAATTGCTTTGCTATGGGCTCCAAGACCATTCAACATGCGATCCGGAAAGACCCCTAGAACCACGATGTTTCTTTGGTAAAGAGTTCGTACAGAGAGCATTGCCCAGCTGGTGAGCACCCTTTCTTCTGATATCATTCAATTGTATATAATGTTTTTTTTTGAACAACTGAAGCCTTAGGTATGCCTGTGAAGGTGCGTGTGTAGTATCAGAAGCTGCTTAAAGTGTTTGTGCTGAATGGTCTGAAACATCGTCCAGCGAAACCACAAAGGAGGAGTTATGAGGAACCGTTCCGTTGAAATCATGGCAAATTCTGAATTGTTTGTTAGTTTAATAAAATCATGTTCAGGTATCTGTTCCGCTCATTCAAATCGACCAAGTCCTTTCAAACTACTATCCTTGACTGGATGGAAGCCGGTTTGCACGTAAGCTTCTTCACATACTGTATAGATGGACTTGATTTTTGGTAAATTTGGGTCGATATACAACCATTGTCATTTCGTCATTGTTCCAGATGCTTCGCCTAGATTACAACATGTTGAACCTGTTGATCCATCGTGAGAACCTGTACTACCTCCATCTGGATTACAACTTCAAGGTAAGACTTTTTGTGCGGCAGGTAGTCGTTCTTTGGTTTTCTATATGCTTTTTTCGACCATCTGAACCGCATTGTGATTCTTAGCTAATTAAACTGCTTTCAGCCCGTGAAAACCCTTACAACCAAAAAGCGTAAGAGATCTCGTTTTGGTAACGCGTTGCATTTGCGTCGTGAGATCTTGAGACGCACCGAGTTGGTTGTCGACGCACATGTGCAGTACAGGTAGGTTTCTGTTTACTCATTGGTACAAACATCAATAATTAACATTATTAGGCTCAACAACGTTGATGCTTATCAGCTAGCAGATGGTCTGCAGTACATTTTTGCTCATGTTGTACCGTTACAAGTATAAGCATTAGGGTGCTACTAAGTTGTTTTTGGAACTTAGAAAATACGTGTACATTTGTTGGTTGGTTACGGGTTCCATTTCACTTACTTTTGTATTCTTTCTCAATCTCCATGTTTGTTGCTTAGCCAAATCATAATCTATCTTGCTTATCGAAACCATAATCTTTTCATGTTGCTTATACTATTATCCTTTCAGTACCCATCGTTATTTCGTTTCTTCAAGTTGTAGTCTGTTTCATTCACATATGAAAGGTGATTATTGGGTGCTACTAAGTTGTTTTTGAATCTCAGAAAATACGTGTGCATTTATTGCTTAGCATAGCTTTTGGTTTCCTTTTACTTACTTTCGTAATTTCGTTTTTATTTATCTATGCTTGTTGCTCATCTGAATCATAATTTAGTCGTGTTGTTGCAACTGTTGCCCATTCATGCTACATTGTTTTTTCTACGTTGTTCCGTTTTCAGCTTATTTTATTAAGAGAATATAAAGTTCTAACTGCATAATCGACACATACTATATGATCTTGGGATTGCCAGCGCATTTTTCTCAATTAATTTTGCAATCGAAGAGAAAATGAGCGAACAAGAAATACGATCAAAACGTCACAATCAATAGAAAATAAACGCAGCTGTAGGTGCAAACATCGAAGTTCATGAGCCACAGAGAAAAAAATAATCAACAGTACGAAATGTCTCGAATTGTTGTAATCACTAGCGGCCCAGTGGAATACTGGTGTAAGAAATTGCTTCCTTGAGCCAAGATTGATATTTACAAAAGTAAATGTGCGAAGTGCAATAATGCAATGCAAACACATATGAACGAAGGTATTTTTAGTACTTCTGTATGTATTGAAGCGGCTTCAATGCATCTTCACATGACGAATATCTAACCTTGAATAACAAAACTGCGAATAAAACTCGTTTTCTTCCAATACATAAACTGCTTGAAAGACGCTTAGATTAACAAAGAATTATCGATAGGAAATTATTGAGAATGTGCTTTCAGTAAAGCTCATTCTCGAAAGTAAACATGCACAAACTACACCTCGATTTCTCTGGACTTGATCTTCATCATTCTATAACAGAAAAATAGCAACGTATTGATTAGCACTTAAGCGGCCTTTAAATTCGTTGCGTGAGCCCGAATACCGTACCCCGAACCCCATCTTCCTTCTTCAACATTTCCTGCTTCAGAATAGAAAAAGAAAAGCTTGTGGGGTGCCTTATCTCGATGTTGAAACGCGTCATTCATGGCTCAGTGGCTAGTGGGTGAGACTGTCGGCTGCCAGGCCCGGGTTCGATTCCTGGTCCTGGGGGTCTTTCTTGCTGCTAACATTAGAAGCCTCCAAAAAACAGCTGACTTCTCCACAAATCATTCTATAACAGAAAAATAGCAACGTATTGATTAGCACTTTTTAACATTCGCCGCAAACTTGATGCATCAAGATTCGAAGGTACCTCCACTTGAGAGCCGTATTTCGACCCTACAATGAAAATAATTCAAAAATCTAAGAGCACTTTTGCTTAAGAGGTTGTTGTCCTCTTTTTATTGGTACCGTTCCCCTCAATCAATCTTCAGTGGTTGGTGAGTTATGAGCGCTCAAAGTTAGCATAGCAGTTGAAAGCGCTGCCGCTTTTTGTGATTTTGGTTCTGATGATAACATTTTCTGCAATTTTGAGTACTTACAAAACACTAAATACTTAATTCTTTCAACCTTTTTTTGGAACGATGTTACAAGTATTTAGTGTTTTGAAAGTAATCAAAGCACAGTCTAAAATTTTTTTCAAAGAGTTCCGGTAGTGGCCATATTAAAGAAACAAGTGTCGATGGATGAATTGCTAGCATGTATCATGGATGATTTGCATCACTCTAACTTGGCAAGCGAAGAAGGTTTTCTTCCCCTTCTTTCGCTTAGGCTGAATGCGCTGCAGAACGCGGCGTGCTCCACGTATAGACTATATTCATTATATAGGACATTCGAAAAATGAAGATGGTGCGACCGCGCGCAACCGCACGCGTGTTCTGGCAACCGCATTTTCTTTGTTTTCATCGCTATTTGAAAGGTTTTTCTGTTCACGTAGATAGTATTTACACATTGGAAAGTGACTGAGTTGAGCTCTGAGGTGGTGCCTTTTTGAATAAGTGTTTTATGCTCCTGGGGCGCAAAGCCGCAGTCAAATCCGTCGTCACGATTTTAAAAATGAACTATATGTATGTTGCAGTAGCGTACCCTTTTTTTCGTTCGGGGTCTAGGGCTTTTGCACGGTTAAGTTGAGGGGTTACGCTGTGAGCATCCTTATCGGAGATACTCTGAAGGGGAGGAGCATACTGTGTCTTTCGCCAGTAAGCTTTTGAAAGAAGGGAATTTTGAACGGTCTCTTTGAGTAACGAAGAGAGAGAGTGGATGATTTGACTGCGAGGGTTTCAGGGGAGAGCGGATGGGGAACTTACGCCCTTTTGGCCAAGAAAATCGGACAGAAGAACTAATATATGAAAGTAAAGCGAGGTGGAAATTAGGCGTTTCCAATGCTTTTACGGAAAAAGCCGCAACGTCTCATGAAAATTCACACCGAAAGGAACACGCAATACATTAACCAGGAAGAGCCACAGAAAAAAGGGCCACGAGAAAGATGCTTTACGAGAAAGAGAAGCATTATTTGAGTTATTTAATGCGCAGATCAAGTCCAGAGAAATCGAGGTGTAGTTTGTGCATGTTTACTTTCGAGAATGAGCTTTACTGAAAGCACATCTATATATATATATAAAACTCAATGTCTGTGAGGATGTTCGTTTAATTGTTCGTTCGTTATAGAAACGCGCGCCACGGAACCGATCCGGTTGAAACTTCGCACACGTATATTTTCGACCCCGGCGGTGGTTTAGAGCTACTTTCCGCGGCGACTCGCCGGGCCATTCTATCGATTTATTGATTTGTTTACTCAAACCTAAGAAAATGAAGGGCCATCATGGCAACCGATCATTTTTACATATAAGCATGTAAGTAGGGTCGGTAAAGTCCATTTCAGTCTTAAAGTTGGTAGGGTGCGGCTTAGTCTGAAAGCGCTTTATGCGCACGTTAGAAGAAATCTAGAGGCGTAAGTTTACAATTTCTGTTGGCTTAACTAACTTGAAGTCTCGGGTAAGACCGGGGCCCCCAGCTAGTTCTCAATAATTTCCTATCGATAATTCTTTGTTAATCTAAGCGTCTTTCAAGCAGTTTATGTGTTGAAAGAAAACGAGTTTTATTCGCAGTTTTGTTATTCAAGGTTAGATATTCGTTATGTGAAGATGCATTGAAGCCGCTTCAATACATACAGAAGTACTAAAAATACCTTCGTTCATATGTGTTTGCATTGCATTATTGCACTTCGCATATTTACTTTTGTAAATATCAATCTTGGCTCAAGGAAGCAATTTCTTACACCAGTATTCCACTGGGCCGCTAGTCAAGAAAAAACATAGCAAACAACTCTGGTAATGGCACCAAAAAATCACTCCGCACGAAAACGTCTCCCTGCATAGTTACGGTGGGGGTCAAGACCAAAAATCGGCAAATGTATCTTTCCCCCATGCTTTGCTTAGGCAAAAGCCGCATCAGGGTGTGTAGCGCACGGCGGTGGTCGTGTATGCAAAACTTCACGATCGTCCGAATCGCCGTAATCCTTTTGAGGCAGAACTACGTTTTACACCCGTTACCGTGTAGCTACCGTAATCCGAGAAAATGACGCTAGTTTCAAAACCAATGTGATATTTAGCATCACAGCGGGCCGAATAAATCCTCTGGACCTAGTTTCGGGCAAATCTATGATTTTGACCCCCTACCGTATACTTACCGTAACCCTAAGGGAGGCGTTTTCCTGCGGAGAAAGGTGATATTCATGATCAACACGTCAGATAACCCCTCTGGGCCAAGTCTGAGCGAAATCCATGGCAAAAAATTTTTTGGGGCCCCGATAGCCGAATAGCGAACGCAATACGGACGCTAAGATGCTACGGAATAGGGGGCACATGGATGACAATGACTGTACAAATGTGAACCAGAAAAAACTTACAAAGAATGGCGACGATTAGCCGGCAAAACGGACAAGCAACCAAGATGCGATAACAAATGCAACCTCCTACGGCTAACAACGAATTCAAAATGATGCTTACGCGTCTTGTTAAGTTACATGTTCGTTGTTCTTACATGTTTGTTGATGGCGCGCCGCTCGCCCGGTCACTCACGATGGCGCGCCGCCCGTCGAAGGCAAGGCGCGCCGCTCGCACGGTAGGCTCATGAAAGCGCGCGGGCCGTCGGAAAAAGTGTCTGAGGAATCGTTATTTTTGCGCGCCGTTCATCCGAAACGAATGTCAGAGTAGGTCAAAGACTTCATAAAACCAACAATCAGGGAAGACTCCGTTTTCAGAAACTCTAGAAACCACTCGTGCGGGGCCCTGGTAGGAATGTTGTGCTAAAGCTCAGCATGATGTTGAGCAAAAGCACTTTATTTTCTTCAAATTGGTTTATGAAAGTGATCACGGAGAAATCTATCATTGCTTCTGAAGGGACTTCGTAAAACTCAATAGGATGCTTCCTTTTCAATAAATTCACTTCATATGCTCCAATGCTGCTCCAAACAATTTGCTCGCGCCAGTCATTCCATTCGCTATGTGTTTTTTTTTATAAACGTTGTGGAAGCTCCTCTTCCCAAATGTGTGTTTTAAGATGGATTCAAATGGTACTGAAGCTTCTCATGTTCGAGGGAAATGCCGAGCGATGTGTCCTAGTTCTGAGATCCGCTTTCGACGGTCGAATAATATGGTTCACATCTTGGAGACAAGTGAAAATGGAGGGAAGGACCGCAGAATGGTGAAGGAATATGCTCGTCCTGCTGCTGGTCGTGATCATCTCCATCCTGATTCGCTTAGACCACCGGATATTCTCGTAGAGACTGTTCATTACCTTTTGCGCTTATACGAAGAAGAAAAAAGTACTCGTTTCGCTTGTGTATATTCGTTTGTCTGTGACCGATTGAGAGCTGTGCGGCAGGATATGATACTCCAGAGTGTTTCTGCCATGGATACGGTCAGAATTCTGGAGGAAATGATTCCGTTCTACTTTGAAAGTGATTACATATGCAGGACCAGCGACTGTAGCACTTATGACTGGAAATTACACCTAAACTCGCTAGAAGAATGTCTTTCACGATGGCATGAGGCTATACCCTATGTATCCCAGAACCTCGTTAACCCTCAGATTGTGTGCGGTTATGTTCTTCACCAAATACCCGCTCATTCAACGATGATTGATATCTTTAAATGGAGGCAGTTTCTCCCCTCTGACGTGTTTCGAATTCTACGTGAGATTGTCATATCCTACCACTGTAACAACTATGTAAGATTCTTTCGCATGCTTTCCCAGCTTCCTGCCGATCATCTTGCCGTAGCAGCCGTTGAAGCAGTGCAAACCTTGCGGCGTAAGAGTCTGTTCACAATCTGTTGTGCGTATAAATCTGCTCAGTTGAAAGTTCCAGTCTCTGCAATTTCTTTTTGGCTCCATTATCGTGATAGCTGTGATCTCACTGATCTTCTTTCTTACTGCTCTGTCCCTCAGGCTGATTCTGTACTAGTCACTTCTATAGATTTGAACGAACTGCATAGTGAAGCTTCGAGTAGATTACTTGCAAAACTGTAGTTGTGTATCATCATGCTATGGTATTTCATGCGGGTTTCTGTTTGTCAGAAATAATAAACATTCCAGCAAAATGGATGCGGTGGTTATGATCTCTGATATCGCCTGGATTCAGCGTGGCGTAGCAAAGAAGATTCCGGACAAAGTTAAATTAGACGAAGAACAGCTGAAGAAACTCATCTCTGGTAAGTTGCTACATTTAGTGCGACTGATTTCTGGGGCTTTCAATTTTATCGAGGAATAGTTTGATTATTTTTCAAGGAGGCGTTCCCGACACTACGGATGCAGACAGTGATGAAGAGAAAGAGGTAATCTGCCTGGTTTCTGCTCTTATTATATATTTTTTTCGAGGAACATTAGATTCAGTTTGGCTTGTCCCTTTGTACTTACCTATGACGATGCTGCTTTCATGTTTGCAGGAAGCTGCAGCAAGTCAGGATAGCGGCAATACTGACACAATAGCGCAAAAGGTGGACTTGTTTTTTGACTATCATGCTCGAAAATAATGGTGTTTGAGAGAGAGCCAGGAGTTCGCGGATCAGCGGCGCAAAACTCAGAAGCTAATGATAAAGATGTGGATATGGAAACTAAAGAAGATGCTACTAAAGGCACGGAGGAAAGTGGGTTAGTAATACTTTTTACCCTCAGATCTGCTCATGTTCATGTATTAACAGAAAATGATCATATTTTGATCAGACTTGCTTTACTTTCTTTGAACTTACTTTCGTGTAAGTGGACAATAATGACTTGTGTATGGGCTGAGTGCCCACCAGTTATGTTTACAAAGCACTTTGAATAACCTCAGTTGTCACGTCTCCCTTCTACCTTCAGAATGCGGGGAATCGCGATGTATGCGACGAATGTTGATGATCCTTACGTGACTTTACATGTTGACAGCGATGAAGAGGAAAAAGAAGAAATTGAAGTGAAACCCGAAGACAATATGGCTGTGCTAGCCAAAATCGATAGGGTAGGTGCCATCTAGTAATATCCGAATGAGACTACTGTCGTCGTTTTCTGTCTAAACATGTCTTTTTCATAAGTAAGTTTTACCCCTGCTTTCGCTTATAGTAGTTATCAACGCTGATCACGAACTTCTGCACGGTCCATCAGATTGAATTACCTCAAATTTTTGGTTAAAATCAGAGTGTCCCAAAAAGATGTGCAAAAGACTGTTTGATCGTTAATAACTCTCTTTCTTTCATGTTGCCAAGCTTGAAGTACCATTCTGTAGAGCGAGGTCCAGCTTAGATATACGGTATGGAGCGAATCACTAATCGCTCTTTATTGCTGTAGGATTACGGTATGAACTTTCAGAATACAGCGTCGCTGTGGAATAGGCTTTTTGACGAAATAATTTCAAAAAAAGTCTGAAAATTTGTTGGCAAGGTTTTAAGCGTGCTGATTTCACTACATGAGTTTTCATGAGTTTTTCGAGCTTCCTTGACGGCGTATTCACATTTCTGACGAACACTGGATAGTTTTTACCTTAAATCTGAAATAACTTATGAAAGAAGCACTATACTGAAGTGCAAATTTCATATTTAGAGTCAGACTTCGCCTAGTTTAGTACAAAAGTTTTTGGCTTGTTTGGTTTCCTTTCTGAGGCAAAAACCCGCAAAAAACCGCTTTCGATGGCTTAAAATCCTCCTCGGAGTTTCTACCGTATCTTACAGTAATGAAGAGCTATCGATCATTCGCTCCACATTGCAAATCTAAGTTAAACCTCGGTCTACAGAGCGCCTCAAGCTCGGCAAAAGACATGAGCAAGAAAGTTATTAACGATCAAACAGTGTGCACTTCTTGGGACACCCTGTATATAGCATCAGCCCAGCTGCGTATGCTTAGTTGGAACAAGCAACCTGAGAAAGTAAGACTTCTTCCTACGTCTTCGAACGCTTATCAAGAAATGCTCACTGTGCATAAACAGAATGAATGGATGGTGTAAATTTGGAAATATATCTTTGTATTGCTTGGTGCATACAAAGTTATGATTTCAGTTATATGTATTTTTCAGGATAACTACAACCTTGAGGTTTATGTCTACAATGAGGCTAATGATGATTGGTACTGTCATCACGACTATATTCTAGAAGCACCGCCTTTGTGTCTTGAGCCTATTCAGCACGATCCTGGAAATGATGAAACGGGAAAGGTGTGTTTGTATGAGATGAGATTTATACCATCATATTAGCTAATTCTAGGGAAATCTTTTGGCTGTTGGTACCATGGAACCTATCATAAATATCTGGGATTTGGATATCATCAACGAAGTCACTCCAGTTGTATCTTTGGGATCGAAGGGGAAAGGTAAGCTGGAGCTTTTCCTTCCTTTCTCCGAGGTAACAGCTCTTTCGTGCCTGATGTACATGCTCATTGAACTTTCTCTGGCTAACCTTTTGATGACCGCTTTCAATCTGCTACTGATTTATCAGGTCGAAGGAAAAAGCGTGATGGTAGAGAACAGGGACATTCGGATGCCGTACTGAGCATCGCATGGAATAAATTAACTCCTCACGTTCTTGCCAGTGGAGGTTGGTTAAAATACATATATTGTTACAACTCGTCTGAGTCTGAATTTCAATTGAGTGCTTGTTTGAAAGCCGTCCGCGTTAAGTACATTTGGTTTTCTTGCACAAACCAGCGAATCAATCTTACCGTTTATTCAGGTGCGGATAAGCAGATTGTTTTGTGGGATCTGGATGAGGCCAAAGCTGCTCAGGCAATCCCTGAACGCGATGGAGAGGTGCGCTTTACCTATATATCTGCATTTGTCTCGTCGCTAAGAGGAAGTGATGTGGCGTTAGCCACGCTTTTCGCCCTTTTTGGGGGGGGGGGTGGGGTAAAGTCAAATGCTCGACCATGTTGCTGTTAGGGTACCTCTGGACAGGACATGAAAGGTAAGATCGATTTTTATGAGTATTCTAGCATTTAGTAATTTAGATTTTCTATTAGGTACGAATATATTGCATAGATTGTTGCAGTAGAAGAAATTTACTCGAATCTTTATTTTTGCGGGTATCATTAGTTTCATGCCTGTTGTATCCAAGTATTTTGTGCGAGCTACAATTTTTATGGAAAATAATGATTTGCAGAAAACCAAAAGAACCGAGATGTTTTATACAGCTTGCTCGAAAACCACTTTTCATGGAGACCATTAATCAGCCCCACATACTCTAATAGCGACTGTTTCATTTTTATCACTCGTTTCAAATTTGTTAACAACACCACCAACTAGAGTACGGGTAGTTTTTTCTGCCGCTTCCTTCTCTGGAATTGTGTGACATGGAACCGCTTATGCGGTGTTATAATAGCGACAACCTTCGTTTTTCAATAAATACAAATCCATGCAATCCGTTGGAAAAGTAAAAGTGCTACTCGTCCAGGTGGCAAACATTCGTTTCTCGCAGTATATCACTTAGTTGTTAATTCAGTCACTATTTGTGCATACTTCTTTTTACTGTTCAGGTACAAGCTTTGGCATGGCACCCTGCAGAGCCGACATTCATGCTCGCTGGAACTTTGGCCGGGGCGGTCGAAGTCTTAGATTGCCGTGAAACTTCGGGATCGTCTTCAGCAACATGGAAATTCAATGCGCAAATCGAGCAGGTTAGATCCATGAGCTATTATGTGCTAATGAATAAGATCATCTTGACATGCAATTTTAATGCTCCATAACAATAATTAACAGCTGCTAGGATTTTTTGTAAGGAGGTAGCTACAAACCCTGCTCATATCGAATTTTCATCATTTTCATCTCATCACTAGCTGGCTTACCCGGCTCCGCCGTATGTTCCGAATAGAAAATTCCATTTTTTAACCGATCCGGACCAAACTTGGCACACACTTTGGGCCCCGGCGGGTGTCACAGTCCACTTTTTGTTATCGATCGATGTCAATGTTATCGATTTTTGCAAAATTTGAGCTAGGGGGCTGGAATTTGGCAGAGGGGTGTAATCGAGCATGCTGATCACCCATACGGGGATGATCAGCATGCTCGATTGCCCCCCTGTGCCAACTCCCAGCCCTGTAGCTCAAATTTTGCAAAAAATCGATAAAATCGATATCGATCGATGACGCAAAGTAGCCTATGACACCCGCCGGGGCCCGAAGTGTATGTGTGCTAAGTTTGGTCCCGATCGGTTCAGAAATGGAATTTTCTATTCGGAACATACGTACACACAGACATACAGACAGACAGACAGACAAACAGACATTCAGCTTTATATATAAGATTTCTTGAAATTTTTGTCATCATCAGTTGACATTCATGCCTTCATATGGCTAGCTTCATGAAAAAGTCACTTTTTTAAACTTTCTAATGTTTGATCTCAGGGAAGGGCCATAGGTTGCCGGCAGCGGTTGTCGGTGTTGTCGGTGTTGTCAGGGTTGCCGAGGTTGGCGGTCGTTACGTTTCGCGCGCTCTCTAAACTGTCTCTGACCCCCGACAACACCGACAACATCGACAACCTATGGCCGTTCCCTCAGCCTGTAGCGAGTGCACAGATGAGAAATTTAGTGGTTGAACACACACAACCCTTGGCTACATGGGAGCCACAATGTAGACTTTGGTCTGCTATTTGTGAACTTCTGCAGCCAAAATTTGTGCGTAGAGGTCACTTTTTGTGCAATCCATATCGCTTGAGTTTAACCATGCCATGCAAATGATTGCTAATTTAACAGTCTGTTGCGTGGGTACCCATTGTTTAATTTACATCCAGCTACAGTTCGTTTTGCGGATCATGTGTTTTTTTTTCGGAAATTTGAAAAATCTGAGTGTTTTTCTTCCCTGTGCCTTTCGCCGTAAGAAAATTTTCTTCGAATGAGCAAAGTGTACCCTACAGTTATCCTTAATTGCCCTTTTCAATGGTACCATACATTCGTACATAATCCAGTCTAACACATCTACAAACCGTTGAAACCGAACTTATTTTCTAGGCAACCTAATATGTTTAAGATTTTGTCTATTCACGTCGTTCCAGATTGCTTGGAACCATTTTAATCCATTCTCTGCGTTCGTTGCTTCCGACGACGGTCAGTAGCTAGTAAGCGAATATATGCTGAGTTCTGACTCATAATATTCAATAGGCATGCTGCGTCACATAGACATGCGTAAAACTTCGGAAATATTGTGGGAAGGTCAGGCGCACGATGGCAGCGTTGGCGGCCTTACTTTGTCTTCCACCATACGTGGTCTTCTTGTCACCGTTGGACACGATCAGGTTTGCTTTCATCTTATGTATTTGTTGAAACACGCTACTTAGTTTAGATGCTGTGTGTCTGGAAAGTACAGGAAGATGGTTCCATACTCAAAGTTCACTCCGAAATGCAATCCCTCGGCACACTACACGCTGCAAAATTCAATCCTGATGTGGCTACTGTGTGTTGCATTGGCGGTTCAGCAAATGATTTAGTCAGAGTTGTGGATATTGGGAAGATCGGCGCTGTTGTGCAAGCATTCTCCTAAAAATCGCGCGTAGAATAAGATTGCCGATCACAGCTTTGAGGAGCACATTCCTGTCCGCTTTCTTTTGCATCACCGCGCAGTAAAAAAGTTCTACTCACCTCTTATTCTAATACCATGGTTGTGTTTCGACTTTACTGGATGGAGTGTTCTGTGCGGTAACCCGAAGCATAGTTTGATCGTTGAGTCATCTCTTCCTCTCGAATATAGAAATGAATTGAAACTCAGGTACTGTACCTTATATCTGATTCGCTTTCTAGCTGTGAAATAGAGATTACTCTTATATTGGAAATTTAGCCTCTACCTTACTTATGTTCTAGTCGTAAGAATTAGGTGGGATATACATTGATATATACATAAGATCAAATATCAAAGCGTGGGCATTTATCGCAGAATTGAGAATCTCCATATGACGCGGCTTGCACTCTTAGTTTGGTGAGCACAAAATGAGAAACACCCTTTGTAGACTCTAGTGTTATCCAGAAAAAGAAATGATAGGAAATTATGTTAGTCTTATACCCTTTTTTTTGCACGACTTTCCGCCACTTTTTTCGGCCTTATGCATCACAGCTTTCTCACTTACCTTTACCTTAATTGTTAGATTGTGATTGTTGAACAGTAGTTTTTGTTGCTTCGTTCTAAATATCATTTTGGAATTGTTGCCTGTTGAATTGTAGTCACTACGTTGAGATTTGTTATAAAGTTTGTAGGACTCCTGTTGCTTGATTTTTTCAGTTGTTTCATTTCATTCCCAAAGGTGCTATGCACATCCTTCTAGGGTCCACTCAAATTTTCAACTTCCATGTTTTTGTCGCTCCGGACCTCATGTCCCTGATTGCAAGTATCAAGTCGAGAATCAGCGAAAACCCCGACAATCAATGCGCAGAACGGCAGGATCGTTCGCAGGGTCCGGCATGAGCCCGTTTTTAGGCTTTTTGAAAACGAAGTCCCTCCCGATTTTCTCAGAATTTTACGAAGTTCCCTTACATTATTGCAAACGTCGACAAGAAAAAACTTGTGCTATCTTGTGTTTTTCGGATCCACAATGCAATACCCCTTTGCTTTTTCGCCCCGAAAACGAAGTTCAGCCTGCTTTCATATGATCTGTGCCGCGCGCTGGTCGTCGCGCGCTGGTCGTTTCTCTCAGATTGGTTGGGTGCGCACCATACCTTCGATACATAGAGCCACGTACTCTGGTGACCTTCACTTTGAGCGTCATGATAAAACACAACCTTCACCTAGAGGGAAGTCATCCGGGGCGAAGCCCCGGATATCATAGCATAACTAATGACACATCCATATAGGGAGAGATGTGAATGAGATAAATATAGTAGTGACATCCAAAGCTCAAAAAACCGAAGGATTACGTTTTTATGGCTCTTTTTTGCCAAAAAGACTTTTATTCAAAAATTCAATGAGGAACTGGAGCAAAATTTCTCAATTAATCTTTCTCTAGACTTCGATTGAGCGTTGGAAGTTCATGAAAGCCGCTGCAGTTCAATAGAAACGAGAAACTGCGCTCAAATCTTGCGCAGAGAGTCGCTACTTAAATACTGGTCTATCTCGTTATGGAGTGATTTTCAAGACCCGCGACGTTGTCAGTGCTTCTGGACGTCTCATGAGGATCACAACGATATATAATGTTACAGGGTTTCATTATGATCCCGCGGAGATCAATGACCAAAGCCAAATGCCCCGCCGGCTCTGGTCTGTCTCCGCTGCTCGTCTGCGTCTCCGCGACTTGCGCGCTACCTCGCTACCCCAAAAGCGGGGCGCGGGGCATTTGGCTCTGGTACCCTTTTCCTCGTTGTTGGGAGCAGAGGTGCGATAGGGGGAGCCAAGTCTCCCCCTACCTTCACTTTTGAGCTGATACAGAGTGACCACCTTCACTTTTGCGAAAATTTTTTTGTTGAATATAAAGAAGGAAAATAAGTAAAACAAACGCAAAAGGGATTATTGAAGGCATATACATATGTATTGCAGTTTTAGGAACTCGCCGTCACCCATCGGAAGCGAAGGCCATCACCGCCATGGACGCATCCACTTTTCCGCCTTTCCACGAAATCGGAGAAGATAGCTTCGGGACGAATTTCGATTTAAAAAGCTATGACCAAACGGTCCTCTTTAGGGCCAACAATTGACCCAACGGCCCTCTTTAGGGCCACAGATACGATGAACACAGCGGCATAAATATTCGAAATAAACGTGTCAATGAAATGGTGTATTTTGAAGTGAAACTCAACGACACTCTACAGATTTTATTAAGTAAATTTAGTTATGTCGTACTGCGAAGAAAGTAGGTCGATCCAGGAAGTATTTGCCAAGAACCAGAATTTTGAATGAAAAAATAACCAGAAATCATGCAAAATTGCCACTGTTATAAACCAAGTGGTTGAAGATGTCAGCAACTGCGACTTCATAGGTTTTAAAGGGTAAGTGTTGCTCTAACAGATAGTGAAAGAATCGGGTCGATTTGAGCAGTGGTCGCTGAGAACGAGAATTTTGAAAAATTAGGCGATTTTAGGTTAATTTTTGACTGCTGACATTTGAACTCCTAAAACTCTTGATTGTGAAGATGTGTGATGTTGCGACTTCATAGGTTTTCTAGGGTAAGGTTTGCCCTACTAGAATATATCTTACCCGTACCAATTCATCAAAGCACCGCCGAGATCCAGGCTCTTGAAAAAGCAGGTAAAAAACAGCTTTTTGAACTTCAACAGCTCGTAACTTCTCCAGAACTGCATGAATCATGTTGCGACTTCATAGGTTAGATTCCTCTCATCAAGGGCTTTCAGATGATATATGATATATGGGGGTTTGGGGCCTTCTTCGACGTATGACCGGGGGGGGGGGAGACTTTTTAGGCCAAAGTCTCCCCCTCGCCCATTTTAATGTATTGGCTGGAGGCTGCCAGGGGAGACTTTGGCCTAAAAAGTCTCCCCCCCCCCGGGCATATGCCGTAAGAGGCGCGAAACTCCCACATATTCTATATCATCTGAAAGCTCTTGATAAGAAGAATTCAACCTATGAAGTCGCAACATGATTCATGCAGTTCTGGAGAAGTTACGAGCTGTTGAAGTTCAAAAAGCTGTTTTTTACCTGCTTTTTCAAGAGCCTGGATCTCGGCGGTGCTTTGATGAATTGGTACGGGTAAGATATATTCTAGTAGGGCAAACCTTACCCTAGAAAACCTATGAAGTCGCAACATCACACATCTTCACAATCAAGAGTTTTAGGAGTTCAAATGTCAGCAGTCAAAAATTAGCCTAAAATCGCCTAATTTTTCAAAATTCTCGTTCTCAGCGACCACTGCTCAAATCGACCCGATTCTGTCACTATCTGTTAGAGCAACACTTACCCTTTAAAACCTATGAAGTCGCAGTTGCTGACATCTTCAACCACTTGGTTTATAACAGTGGCAATTTTGCATGATTTCTGGTTATTTTTTCATTCAAAATTCTGGTTCTCGGCAAATACCTTTCTTCGCAGTACGACATAACTAAATTTACTTAATAAAATCTGTAGAGTGTCGTTGAGTTTCACTTCAAAATACACCATTTCATTGACACGTTTATTTCGAATATTTATGCCGCTGTGTTCATCGTATTTGTGGCCCTAAAGAGGGCCGTTGGGTTACAGTTATTGGCCCTAAAGAGGACCGTTGGGTTAGAGCTCTTCATTTATCCGAAGTCATCATGAAGCTTTGCTCTATCGGAGAAAGTGCTGAGGCGTATATGCGTCCATGTCGGTGATGGCCTCCAGGTGCCGCAGTGAGAGACGGCGACTTCCTAAAAGTAAACTACATAGAATATGCTCTCAATACTTTCTTTTGCGTTCGTTTTGCTTAATTTCCTTTTTTTCAGTTTCAGCAAAAAAAATCAAAACCCAAAAGTGAAGGCATTCGCGGCCGGCAACGACGTGAAAGGATAGCTCAGTTCTATGCTTCCCCCCCCCCCCCTCCCTACCCTCCCCCTCTATACCACCGGTCAACGTTTTTGAGAGGTGAGTGTCCAGCATTACCACCCACTTTTGCTGGCCAGTGGTAGCCTGCGACCCCCCCCCCCCCGGTCGACATTTTTGGGAAGTGAGTGTCCGGCGCTACCACCTTCACTTTTGGCCGGCCAGTGGTAGCTGGAACCACCTTCACTTTTGGGGGGCCCGGCTCCACCTATCGCACCTCTGGTTGGGAGCCTAATTTCGACAATCTATATATCATAATAAAGCTCTTGATCTCTATTTTCACGCTGACAATGTCGCAAGACTCCTTTTCATGATTTAAACGAGAAATATGAGAAAAACGGAGTTTTCGAAAACCTCTTGTTTTTTCTTCAGTTCAACTCTTTTCACTCGGTTTTTTGTGTATTCGATAGGTCTTGTTTCTGTCTATGATGTAGACAACGTCGCCGAGCTTACTTCTTTGCTTATGCCGGGTTTTTTTGTGAAAATTACCAAAAAGTGCGTTTTTCTTTACCTTGTTCTTTTTCAATGCTTTTGCAACGAATTTTCTCCAGCTTGGACGCTACTTGCTCAGAATGATGAGCGGAAGAATTTAGACAACGTCGCAGGATACGAAACGACCATGCGGGGGTGAAAATTCAAAGGACGCGTCAAAAATCAGATTGGCGTCGATGTGCAGCATAATTTTTCAGACATGTTTAACATGTTCAGTTCAGTTGTTGACAAGTTTGCCTTCTTTCGGTCTCACAACTACTGCCACAGCTAACGCTTTTTTTTCAATTAGAAAAGAACTTTGTTCCTGTTGCCACCCAATTTAACCGGCAATTCTGAAGACAAAAATGTGCGTAGGAAACCACCAAGATAAGGTCTTAAATTTGGTGATGTGTTAGCCTCTGTTTTATATGAATTTTTCAAGTTTCCTGGTTTAATTCAGATCTCTAAATTTCCATCTATTTTTTCTAAAACAACCTTCACTTTTTATAGGGGGCAAGAACTCAAACAACTATCACTTTCTAGGCTCTGCCTCTTGACTATCGAAGGTATGGTGCGCACGGATGGGCGGGCAAATGTCGTATTCACTCAAATGAGAGGAGACAATGTGGACTTCATTCGAAGCAATGTTTGAAGCAATCTTCTCGCTTCTGCAACTTTTGGCAGCCCAGTTGGGCATGTATACAGTACAAAAAAATAATCACGAACACAAACGCCTTCCATATCGTCACGATAATCTTGTACTCGCTGTCCTTCGTATGTATGACATCAAAGAGAAGTGGAGCATGCAGTTGTTGCTGCACAGAGCGATTCGCGCACGTTGAACGGGCGGCATTGTGGGAGCGGGCGTGGTGCATATTTTCAACCTTTCTCCGTCTTCTGCGCCTAGAATATGCTACAGGGTTGAAGTATAGTCTGCTTAATCCAAAAGTGTCTATGCTTCAGCGGCGTACCGAGGCGGGGGGGGGGGGGGAATGTCGCGAAATTTTGAAAGTTACTCAAATGTGTTATAAAAATGTGCAAGCGACTTGTTTTTACTTGTCAATAATCAAAATTTCTTGAAAATTTTTAAAAATTCAAATTAGCTCTGTAGAAAAATTTTTTCGGGGACGTTGCTGCCGTCACGTCCACTTTTTTTCAGGGTCAGGGGTCCGCAAAAATTCCGGAAAGCATCTCAAAAATTTTTTAGGAGTGCGTGACTAACGCCACGCGTCTTCACCCGCAAAATTTTTTTGTCCCCCCCCCCGATCGAAAACCCCGGGTATGC